CGAGATCTTTCTTTTTTCTGAAGAAGCTTCTTGTTAATTTTGGTAAGTTTCAAGCTTTTTGCAAATGGGTTGGATTTGTCTAGCTCCAATTGCAGTTAGAGCAAGTAATAGAAGGATTGGAGTTAGGGTTTTTATTCTAGAACAGTTTTACTCTGTTACTGGATTTGTTGTTGAATTGTGAAAAAATTAGGGTCTTTAGGTCATGCTTCTGGGTTTGTGTGTTGAGATTTGACTTTCGGTCTTCAATTATCCCTTAGGAAAATGACTATTGCTTCTTTTCAGGTGGTTTAGTTTATAAGACCGTTGAGCTTCAGAGATATATGTTTGGATTCATATGTGATCGCATAAGACGCTCCTATTGGCCAGAAGTGATTTGTGATCTACCGGGATAGTTTTTTGTTGAGTCTTCAGTAGTTAGGACAGTAGAGATGCCTCCTTTCCCGGCATTGAGATGCTCTCCTGGGAGGGAACTTCCTGGGAAGAAACACAGACGAGGACACAGCATTGAATATGGGATACTATTCAGAGATAAAGACGACGATCTTGCCTTGTTTAGTGAGATGCAAGACAAAGAAAGAGATAGTTTCTTGCTTCAGTCATCTGATGATCTTGAAGATGTATTTTGTAAGTGTTTTTTTTACTGGCTGTGTTGTTTAGTGAGATGATTGGACTTAGAGAGATAGTTTCTTGCTTCAGTCATCTGACTGTCACATGATCCTTCTTAACCTTTTTCCTTCTATTTTGGACATTTATCTTCAGCTACAAAATTGAAGCACTTTTCGGAGTTTACCATTCCTGTTCAAGGAGAGAGTAGCAGATTACTGACTGCAGAGGGAGATAAGAATGACTATGATTGGTACCTTTCATATTTAACTTGGATTCTTTCTGGTTCATTGTTACAACTAATCCGTATAATTATCTTTAAGCCCAATCGAGATTGAATTGAAATTGGATATCTTCCTTACTTTTAGTAATACTCAAAGACGTTTGCTTCCCCAGCTTCTGATTCCATAAACATCTTGTTGGGATTACTGTAACTTTTTTTGTCAACAACTGTAGTAATCTGTGTTTTGCTCTTTTGGATGCCTATATTTTTCCTGTTGTTTCCACTCGTGGTCTCACAAATCTTAATGGATTACCAATGAAAGGTTGCTGACGCCTCCAGACACACCACTTTTTCCTTCATTGGATGACCAACCGCCAGCAGCTAGTGTTGTGAGAAGAGGGAGACCACAGAGTCAGATTTCGTTATCTAGATCTTCCACGGTATCCATCTATACTAAATTGAATGTTATTCTATCTATAACACTGTTGATCTTGAATCAGATCTTGTTGCACTTTCTAATTTACTATGTGTATGTGTAGATGGAGAAGAGCCGCCGTAGTAGTAAGGGCAGTGCAAGCCCAAATCGCTTAAGCACATCGCCTCGAGCTGACAATATGCAGCAGATAAGGGGAAGGCCATCTTCAGCACGCCATCCTAGTCCAGCGTCTGGTCGACGATCAGGTACCCCAGTTAGGAGGATTTCTCCTACTCCAGGGAAACCCTCAGGACCTGTATCAAGATCTCCGACCCCAACTTCGCGAAGGATGAGCACTGGGTCAACTACCATGGCATCGCCAGCTGTCAGGGGAACTTCTCCCGTCAGTTCTAGTCGAGGCAACTCTCCTTCACCCAAAATAAAAGTGTGGCAGTCAAACATTCCTGGTTTCTCCTTGGATGCGCCACCAAATCTCCGAACTTCTTTGGGTGATCGACCAGCATCCTATGTAAGAGGTTCCTCGCCAGCATCCAGAAATGGTAGGGATGCAGTCTCTACACGCAGCAGAAAATCTGTTTCTCCAAGCGCTTCCAGAAGTGTCAGTTCATCTCACAGTCATGAGCGTGATCGGTTTAGTTCTCATAGTAAAGGCTCTGTAGCATCATCTGGAGATGATGATCTTCATTCTTTACAGTCTATTCCTGTAGGTGGCTCAGAACGTGCAGTTTCAAAAAGAGCTAGCCTTTCTCCAAATAGTAGAACTTCTAGATCTTCGAAATTACTGTCACCTGGTTCAGCACCGAGAAGGCCGTTTGAGTCTGCTCTTCGTCAAATGGTACATATTAAGCGGCATACCACTTCTTCTTTTTTTGTCCACGATTCTTGGACTTTTCATTATCTTCTAGAAGTACATGTTTTACTCAGCTTGCATCAACATGTTTGCACCCGTGGCTTAGTTTCTAACATATAACCTGCAGTCTATGAGAACACATCAGAGAACATTGTTGTCAGTCTGTCATATCTACCACAAAAATAGATTGTCTCTAAGTTCCCATTTGTTTTCTGTTACATTCCTTAAATTCCAAAGTCTCTCCTGCATACATTCAATAGAAATTCTGGTAATTACCCCTTTTTGATTCTGCAGAGATATGTCTAACTTTATTTATGATCTACATCTATCATGCAGGATCATCCTAAAAGCCATCATAGCATGTTTAGGCCTCTTGCTTCCAGCCTTCCTAGTACAGGCATTTATTCTGGGAAAGGTAGTTCGTCTTACCATCACATTATGTTAAGACATTCTACGGCAACAGTGGGGAGCAATTCAAGTTCTGGCCAAGTTACAGGATTCATGCCAGATGATAAAGGAAATGATCCAGTCCCTGTATTCCAATCTGTAGTTGAAAATTTGGCTTATCCTGATAAACATGGAGAAAGTACTGCCTTTAACATGGTAAATTTATCAAATGAAAGTAGTAGACATGAGAGTCATGAGAGTTCTTTCAGTGATCAGCTTGGGGATATGGATCAAGGTTATGTTGTTGAATGCGAGTCTAGCGTGAATGAGGAGGTCAATCACCATGTTTTTTATGTTGAAAACAGTTCGACTCATGGTAGTCTTCATGTAGGCAATGAATTTTTAGAAGGTGTCGTTCTTGAAACTACGGAGGTTTGTGGTAGATGTGGTTCTCACTATCGTGCCACTGAAGAACCTAGAAGCGAGATTAATATTTGTCCAGAGTGCAGGGAGGAACACAGTTTCGTAGAAACAGAATCCCCTGGAACAATGAGAGCTCTTGATGACAATTCCCCAAAGCAGTCTCAGGAAATTTTCGATGAAAACAGGTCATATTTTGAAAACATTCCTGTGATAGATGTGCTAGATTCGCTGCCTGTTGTTATGGTTGAGGAAGAGATCATGGAGACACGAGAAAAGATTGAGCAGTGTGATGATTCCTACGAGCAAGAACAATATCATCTGCACGAGAGATCTATTTCCAGGGCTTTGGAAGAGCAAAATGTGGATACGCTCTGTTACCAGGATGGAACTCAGTCTTCCACTGGCTGTGGTCCTTTGAGTATAGGCACAAAAGATACTCAAACTCAGCTTTCTGATAAGCATTATGATGTGAAGATTGGTTCTTCAGGGCGTGGAGACGTTCCTTTGCTTATAAAGAGATCGGTCAGTATGAAGTCACCTGTTATTCAAGCTAATAACTCCAGTTGTTTCACCAGATCATATGAGGGCTTTTCTTATTCAAGGGATAGAAGTATTAGTCTTAGAAGCTCCACGGAAACTGCTTCTGCATCTTCATCTTGGGATTATGGTTCTTCTATAAGAAAGGGAATCCATATACGACAACGAAGCGGGAGTACACTTGACTTGGAGACTCATAGGTATGATACCAACTCCAAGTCTCTGAGCTCCATGTCATCTTCATCTGGCATGTCAAGCCACGCTTTGCAGGCTCTAAATGTCATGCCAGAGGACAGTTTTGAAGTGTGTGCTGCCCAAATGGCATGTACACACGATGAAACTCACCAAGAATTTCACACTGAACTTCAAGATTCGGAGTATAAAGAAACCAATGTGATGAGTGCTGATTTCAGTGAAGTTGGTATTTCCGCCTATGTAGTTGGTAATCCTGCAGAGCATAATCAGGTGGTAATTGACAATGGATTTTGTGAAAATGGAGATGATGTAGCCAATACTGTGATAAGCAAGGGGGAGATTAGAGAATCACCAGCACATGTAAGGAGCATGTCGGATTTTGGAGCATCACCTATCACTGATGACTGCCCTTTAAATGACCACTCTAGGCTACAAGAAAATGATGGTAACGAAACTCCTAACGGTTTATCCACCACGACAGCCTCAGAAATAGAACCTGAGAGTTGTGAACCCGAAACACCTGGTTTAGGGGTTCATGATGAAATTGCAGAGTCAGAGTGCAACCTAAATGCAGTGGATAACTGCTCAGAAAAGAGTATGGTGCATGCTTCTGTGGATCACCACAACTCATTGGCTCCTGTAAATGAAATTTTAGGTATTCACTCGCTTTCTCATCTGATACTGGCATCTCACTGTGCTTTTACTGTTGTTGTTTTTCTTTTTCTTACAACCTTGTGAAGTTTAGACATGGTTTCTTGCTCTCTGCAGATGAGTCCACTGTACTTGTGGAGTGTCCCGGTGGAAAAGAGCCGAGGAGCCTCACGCTTGAAGAAGCCACTGATACAATACTTTTCTGCAGCTCCATTGTTCATGATTTAGTTTACCAGGCTGCAACAATAGCAATGGATAAAGCAAAGGATGTGCCAGTGGAAGAAGAAATGTTACATCCAACGGTGACAGTACTTGGAAAGTCAAATGCAAACAGAAATAGTTATGGACTTGGCGGCGGAACAAAGGCGAAGAAAAAGAGTTCCAAATCTGCAAAAGCAAGTCGAAAGCAAACAGAAACAGAGGAGAAAACAGAAGTGGAAATAGAGAATGATGAAAATGCAGGTGAAGCAGTGATGATACGTAACGTTGGAGTTCCTCCTAGTAAAGGAGAGAACTTGAAACCTCCTCCTAAGCTGGAATCCAAATGCAATTGCTCAATAATGTGATATGACCCACTCTTTGATCATTTTTTTTTTGTATTACTAGTAAATTTTTATGTTGTTTGTTCATAAAGTTTGTGCTTGTTCATTTTTTGTTGTTGTGTTTTGGGTTTTCTTTGTTTTTTTTTTTTTTTTTTATTAATATTAAGATTTAGCGTATTTACGTTTGTTGCAGCTAATTTGTGAGGATATTATACACGATTTGGGTTGCCGTTTAGTGGCATGAATTGTAAAGTTATTGTTTTGATTTGATTATTACTCATCTTTTTATGTGTACCAACAAACCATTCTGTACTCAGTTTGATTTTTCACCAAAAAAAAAATCAAAAATCAAAAGTTCCAAATATAGAGAAATCCAATCAGTGGCTTGCCACTCTGATATCTTCAGCTGCAAAAGCAAGAAAAATTACGTATCACTGATTAAATGATCATAAACAAAACAAAAATGATGCTGTGTGTTAATAATAATAATAATAATCTTACCACGTAAAACCGGTTTCTATCATGATTGAAAGCATCATCTGACGGCCAATCAGGCAATGGACCTTGGAAGACACCATCTGACACTGCGCTACCATGAAAGTGAGGTATGAAGTGCTCCTTGGTGGTCTCCGCCGCCCGCCGCTATGCAACATTATTAATTCAGCAAGTGAGATTTGATTTTATACTCTTGACTTGTATTAAAACATTGAACAACGCACCACAATAGCGACTGCCATATTCTCGTTCATCAACTCGAACCTGACAGGTTTTCTCCAATGGTGGATCGTGTGCAAGAAGAGTAATGTAGTACGAACCCAAGAGTAAAACCTTGTCTTCGGTTTGTTAAAAGTTTTGTTCAATTATTACAATTGACTCATTTATTCATTTTTTTTTTTTCACTAAAGATTATGTATATTAAAGATCCACAGAATACACAGCCCACAGGCCCAGTACATCACATCTTGTAAAAGGAAGGATAATCTAATCTCTAATACAATACACGTTCTTAAAACAACGACACGTGGAATCAACGTGTTGCAAGAGAAATGATGAAACATTCCTTCATCCTTTGCCGACAAGAGCTCCGATCCGGTGAACGCAATCGACGCCGGTATAACAGCGAACATCGATTTTAGTTGTTACTCACCAGAGACTGCTAAGACAGGGAGAGAGGATACAAAAACAGAGACTTCAATCCCATCCGTATGCCAAATCATCAAACAAGAAATCCGGCGAATATCGGGTAAAAAGGATAGAAAATCTGATTGATCCTCAAAATTTGATCATCGAAGCACCAATTACATGTAGAACGGCTACAGGCAATCCAAATATGCTGGAACAAAACTTCCTTTCATTACTTTGGCGATCCTGCAAATCGAGTTTTCTAGAGATACAAGCCGGTGAGAATAATCTTAAGTGACTAACACCTAAAACTAATCACCAACTGAAATCCATAGAATTATTGACAGATAAACGAAAGAGAAACTAAAAACAATCGGTATACAAACCGATCAACGGCTAAAGAAATATAAAAGCCGGCCAAAACCGCTAGTAGAAGCCAGATTTGCCGGACGAAAGCCAGCCATCTTGGCTAACAGAGCCATAAGATGCCGGACGAAAGCCCGAATCACTCGGGACGGCTGTTCACCGGAAAAATCCGGTCTGCAAAATCAATGAATTCCTCTCTCTAAAAGGTATGAAAGAGAGAAGAGAGAGTAACTCATTTATTCATTTTACAATCTAAAGCGTTATCATATAACAGTATTCATTATCCACTTAAAAAAAAAAGAAGTGGCGGGAAAACGAGAAAGAGCGGCTGGGACCTTAATTCTCTATTTCTCAGAAATGATTCCGGTAAAGGTGAAATTGTCCCATGGATTCCGATTCAGACTCCGATGGTTCTCATGTCTCCGCCACTCCTCCCCGAGACTCATTTCCGCCATCGCCGCCGCCACTTCTTCAGCCACCGCCTAAGTATGTGCCGCCGGTCTCCCGGAAAATTACGTCTTCTTCCTCTCGCTCGAAGCCCAAAGCACCTACACAGCCGCCTCCTAATCCCTCACAGGAAGCTCCGACATCATTCTCCCCTCCTCCTCCTCCTCCATCTCCATTATTCACCGATCTCCCTTTCCGGATCTGCGAATCCCAACCCGCTAGGTTTTCTTCTTCCATATCGTCCTTTTCCAGACTCCGCAGCAGAGCTTCTTTTACACCTAATGAGAAATTGAAATCAGACGGCGTCGATTTTGTGCCGGAGCCTCCTCAGGTAGAAGTAATCGCTCCTCCAAAATCCCTTAGGAGAAAGCCTCCGAATCTCATCACCGATACTATAACTTCTCCTCCAAAATCTGTTAGGAGAAAGCCTCCGAATCTCATCACCGACACTATAACTTCTCCTCCGGTGAAACCTATGGTGTTTCGTAGCAGCGGTAACGGCGAGGGTAATTTCGTGAAGTTGAACTTAAATGGCAAGAGAGGGAAGAAGTTTCCTAGCAAATACAAGGGCGTCTCTAAATCTAGAAGCAATTACGCATTCAGAGGGAAGAGATACAAGAAGAAAGAAGCTGATGGTGATGGCGAATCATTGTTGGAGGAAGAGTCTGATTTGCAGAAACAGGTAGAAGAAGAAGCTAATGGTTTTATTAGCTCAGTGGAGGATGCCATTCTTGCTGTGAAGACTGAGGCTTCTGATGAGAATCTAACGAAGCTGTTGAATTTAGTTTATGGTTATGATTCTTTTCGAGATGGGCAGTTGGAGGCGATCAAGATGATTCTTGGTGGGAGTTCAACGATGCTGGTATTGCCTACTGGTGCTGGTAAGTCTCTCTGCTACCAGATTCCGGCAATGATTCTTCCGGGAATCACGCTTGTAGTGAGTCCTTTGGTTTCGCTGATGATCGATCAGTTGAAGCATTTGCCTTCGATTATTAAGGGTGGTCTCTTGAGCAGTAGCCAGGTGTGTGCCACAAATTGTTGTTTGTTGCCGGTTCTTTATTTTTGGAGTCATTTTGTAGTCTTTAGAAGTTTCTAATGGTGTCTGTTTTCGGAGAATTTTCATTAGAGACCTGAGGAAACAACGGAGACGTTGCGGAAACTCAGAGAAGGCATAATTAAGGTGTGTCACGGGATAAGGCTATGAAAGTATTTAATTTGGAAATACATTCATTTGTGTCATGGGTTTGTTGTTTAATTTCAGGTTCTCTTTGTATCTCCCGAGAGACTTCTGAATGTAGAATTTCTGTCGATGTTTCGCATGTCTCTATCTGTGCCACTTGTCGTTGTGGATGAGGCACACTGCGTATCAGAATGGTGAGCTTCTTGGCAACTGGTAGATTACGTTTCTCTGTGTATCTACTGCTTTTCCTTGTTCTGTTTTTCTTGGTTATTAAGAGCTATTCTAAACAGGTCTCATAATTTCCGTCCTTCATATATGAGACTCAAGGCATCAATGCTGTTTTCTGAACTCAAGGCAAAATGCATTCTCGCGATGACTGCAACTGCCACTACAATGACTCTTCAGGCTGTCATGTCTGCACTAGAGATACCGTCAACCAATCTTATTCAGAAGTCACAACTGAGAGACAATTTTGAGTTGTCTGTCTCATTGAGTGGAGCTAACAGGCAAGTGATTTGTTTATACTTTCACCCGTTTGCTCCTTCTCTAGTTGTAACTGAGTGAAATCTGAAATCTAACAGAATGAAAGATCTATTGATTTTGATGGAGTCTCATCCATATAAGGAGATTCGAAGCATCATTGTGTACTGCAAATTTCAGGTGAGAGTACTTACTTAATTATCTACGGCTTTTTTTTCACGCTTCACAAAATACTTTTTTTTTTTTATGTTTCTCACTATATCATGCATGATGCTAACTTAAGCAACTTTGGGCAAACAGTATGAGACTGACATGATAAGCAAGTATTTACGTGATAACAACATCAATGCAAAGGTTGTTTCCATTTTGAAATCTCCGACATACCTTTATCTATAGCTAATTAGACTCTAATCAAGCTTAACTTGATCTATCCAGGGTTATCACAGTGGTCTTCCTGCGAAGGACCGTGTTCGCATACAAGAGTCATTTTGTTCCAACAAGATTAGAGTGGTGAGAAAACAAGTTCACTGATTTTCCATACGCTTTGTGTCCAATTTACCCATGCAATCTATCACTGAAAGTTAAGCAGATGTCAGTCTTCAAATATTTTATTTGTGTTATGGAAGGTTGTTGCAACTGTGGCATTCGGCATGGGACTTGACAAGGGAGATGTTGGAGCTGTAAGTCTAACGCAAACCTTTAGAATGCTTGAACATATCTTTATCTATTCACATCTCATGTAATAATATACATGCTTCTAAATTTTCTGTGTCTGCTTTAGGTAATCCACTTCAGCGTGCCAGGCAGTATGGAAGAATACGTTCAGGTTCAAACTTTTTTTTTTTCCTTTTTAAGCTTAGTGATCAGTGTGGATATAACGTTTTCGAGAAACTAAATGTATATGTTACAGGAAATTGGGCGTGCTGGTCGCGACGGGAGGTTGTCTTATTGTCATCTCTTTTATGATAATGACACATATCTAAAGCTTCGGAGCCTTGCACACAGGTAATTCGTGCGGGAACTATCATCTGTCATGGAATTGAATAAGAGGATTTTAAGCTTACCTTTGTTTTTCCCCTTCTTGTTCAGTGATGGTGTCGATGAATATGCAGTTGGAAAATTTCTCACCCATGTGTTTTCCACTGAGACAAAGCAACATGAGAAGATATGCTCGCTAGTCATTGAATCTGCCTCTCAAAAATTTGATATGAAGGAAGAGGTATTTTTAAAAAACTTAATTTCACTTCTTGAAACCCATTGTTTTTACGTTTATATGATCAAGTGTCTGATCTTGTGAGATAATGGGCGGGAAAAAAGTGTTTTTATCGAGAATATTCTGATGTTTCACTGTGGATCTGGCAGGTTATGCAAACGATTTTGACACATTTGGAGCTGGGGGAAGTGCAGTACCTACGTATGCTTCCACAACTCAACATATGTTGCACTTTGAATTTCCACAAGGTAGGGATTAGGGAAGCTGTTAGCTGAATATTTTCCTGTTTAGTGACAAAGTCCAATATTTTTCTAATGGTGTATGCTTGAGACTTCTGATGCTCAGAACATTGTTATGCTACATGTGCAGTCTTCTCCAAACACTCTGGCTGCACGAAATACCATAGTTGCAGCAATTCTGAAGAAGTAAGTGTCTATTCATATACTTCAGCTTTTCTGGTCAAGTGATTCTGTAGAAGTATGAAAGTTGCAGCAATGCTCAAGACTTTTCTGTTGTTTTTAGGTCTCACGTGAAGCAAGGGTTACATGTCTTCGATATAACCGCTGTGGCCTCTAGCATATGTGTTGCAACAACAGATGTCTTGGCTGAGATTCAAACTCTGAAGGTTGATAACACTTTTCTCTCCAATATGAATCCGTGGCTTAGTACCAGATATGTCAAGTTTCATTGCATCTTAATAAGCATATTTATCTAAATAAGGGAGCCATGATTGAATTTGCACGCATTAAAAGTGAAGAAGAAACGTAAGTCCACAGAACAGAACTGATAGACACATAAATTACCCTTAGGAATATAACTCTAGTACAATATAGATGATATACTTAATTAGTATCATTTTATGATAAAGTTTAATTCTATATGTCTATGGACTAGTGATGTAGGCTTTACTGAGAAAATACAACTGTACTGAGGGAAATGTATATAAGGGTGAATCATGTGTCATCTATTTATTTAATTGATTGTGTTCTGTTAAGAACTCTTTCGTGTGTGTTCCACTTGAACCCTAATTATCTTCCTGATTTCTAATTAACGATGTTGAGTACTTGATCTTGAGGTTTGATTTTCTAGCGCTGTTAAGATCTTGTTCGTTGATATGTCCTTAAAATCATTGTAGATGAAGGGGGAAGTAACATACGAATTGAAGGACCCAGCCTTTTGTTACACAATCTTAAAATCTCCAAGGGAAATATGTTCATTGTCCAGTCATCTTACCAAGTGGCTCACAGAGATTGAAAGTTGCAAAGTAAGTTCTTCAACTCTATCAACTGCAGCTAACAGCTGATGGTCTATCTTAATTTAAGTTCCAACGCTTGTGCTTATATGTAGCGATAATTTTTGCATTTGATATAGGTGAGAAAACTGGATATTATGTCTAGTGCAGCTGTGGCTGCGATTAGTGTCTCTAACACTTCAGAACTGAGTTCTGGTGCCAAGCAAACTCTGAGCCTGCAAAGTAGAATTTTTGATTACTTCAATGGTGACGAAAAGTGTGACACTCCGAGCAAGACGACTCAAAATTGGTACTAAAAAATTATTTCACATAGATTCCAAATTTCGATTAGTGCATAGCGAAAAAGGAAATGAGAAACCAGTGTTGTTACATATTTTTGTTTGTCAAAGTCATCTTTCCATTATATTGATCAACACTTATATTGTGGATGCAGTGCCTTTCTACGAGCAGACATAAAGGTGAAGATCCAATAAACCACATTGTTGTTTATAATTATTTTTGTTTTGCCATGTATCCAAAGAATGTTAAGTTAAATGTTGTGGGGCAAAACAGGTTTTTTTGCAGAGTAATCGCCAAGCCAAATTCACACCAAGAGCCATCGCGAGAATAATGCATGGAGTTGGAAGTCCAGCTTTTCCAAATTCAGTCTGGTCCAAGACTCATTTCTGGTATAGTCATCATCATTATCTAAACCAAGCCATGCAAGTTATTGTTTGATGATGGTTTATGTAATTTTATTGAAATCTGGCTTTGCAGGGGAAGGTATATGAGCGTAGAGTTCCGTGTGATAATGGATGCGGCACAAACAGAGCTGTTCAATTTTGTTGACAGAAATGCAGCTTTAGCTACATAGAAGGCTACTTGACTTAATAAGTGAGTCACAATGAATCACAGTTGATCCCTGTTCCTAAGGTCTCACATTCAATTTATTAGTGTGTAAATCTAACTTTTAGATTCATTAAAGTATTTAGTAAAGAGAAATTGTATCATAACAAGACAGTTGAGAGAATTGTTTGGATCGACAAGAAAAGCTGAAAAAAATGAAAGTTAATCTTAAGTATTAAAAGAAAGATGTGATAAAACAAGAATGAGCAGCAAGTCATGTTAAACATTGAGGGATCATCATATCATACATAGTTCATTCCTCGGACCGGCATCCCATAGTAACCACCACCAAAATACGGGTTGGGGTGAGCAGCAAACATCACCGGTCTCGGTATAGGTGGCGGCTGTGGGAGATAGCATGTAGTCATCAGAAGGTCTTGTTGATATAGCAGATCATCAGGTCTTAGACGCAGCTTTCTATTGTGCAAATCTAAAGTCATCATAAGGTCTTGTTGATATAGCAGATCATCAGGTCTTAGACTCTGGTTTCTCTTGCACAAATCGAAAGTCAACTTGGTGAAGACACGAGCCGTTAATTCACTGTCTGAGCCAGCGTGATGAGCCATTCCAACACGGCTCATCTGAAACGCATCTGCTATTCTCTGCAGTCCGAAACGGCTACTTAGTCCTCTGCATAATCCAGCCATTTTCTTCACATCATAAACACGTTCTCCCAAAAGCCTCTCAACCGTTTCGTCAAACTCTTCCAAAGTCTCCGGCAATGGTTTTCCTCCGGTTAAGCCTTTCACTAGATAAGCCTTGTCGTACGAGCCTTGAAAAGTCACCCAAGTCATCTTCTTCTCCTTCTCCTTGAGAATCATCTGAGTAAACTCCTTGAAGAATTCTTCGATTCCAATTCCTTCCTCTCTGATCTTCGCCAGATCCAGACCATTACTTTTCAGAAACGCGATAGATTTCTCGTTCTTCAAGTCCTTCCACTCGTTGAAATCTGAGAAGTTAATTTCCCAAGTTTTAGAAAATTCTCCAGCGAATATTGTCAAACCTAACTGAATGAGATTGGTGTTTTCGACATTGTACTTCATGTTTCTGTAACGAGTTTCCTCACTAGCTTCCATGGGAGTCTCTTTTAAACATCCCGGAAACTCTGTATCTATAGCGATGAAACTACAATGTTTCAAACAATCGCTCATCGCATTCATCTCTGCTTCCTTGTTCCATCTCCAAACTTCACAACTACTACTTTGCTTCATCTCTCTGATTTTCTAGAAAACGAAAAAACAAACGATTGTTCGAGAGAAAGTGTTTGTTTTTTCTGAAAGAGAAAAGCGAGAATAATAAACAGTGGAACCTGAATTGTGTTTGGTTAGGGTTATATTAGATTATATAGACAAGACTTTGATGATGATAGTTGAATCAATTTCCTTTTTTTTTTAGGACACCACAAAGTTTCCATTTTTTCCAGTCAAAAAGTACGTGTTGACTTTTTGACTCCTAATTCTTGTTGGACACGAGTTTTCCATTTTATTTCTCAAAAAGCCCAAAATAAAAGCCTGTTTCCGAAGCTGTTTACAATTTTAAAACCAGACCGAAAACCAGACCGACATTTCAAATCAAAGTCTGACTCTGTTCTAATACCAAAACCTTTTTTTCGTTTCTTTTCCGGGTGCTCAAACATATCAACTTTTTACCATAATACTTGAGATCATACAAAATTGTTTCGAATAACAAATCTTCTACAAGAAAGCTTTTTCTATTCTTTATGGGAAAAATAAAGAGATTGGGCTAGTTGAATTTTGTATTTATGTTTGAGACATCAAATTTATTTCTGTCCTTTACGAGCAAGAAACCGTTCTCTGGCTGCTTCAATCCGACTATCGACATTTTCAGAAACTGCAGGTGTTTCTGCATCGTTCTTAGACAACTCCATCTTCTCTTCAGGTTTCTTGAAAGAGGGAGCCGGTCCACCGCTACATAGCAGATTATACGATACCGATCAATTACTGAATCCAGACCAGAAGGAGAAAGCTGGAACGACCAAGACCGGATTGAAGTAGTAAAGAGTAATGTTTGTTTTTACCTCAGTTTTCTGACATTTAATTTCTCGATCTTTCTTTTGATGGGAGCCACCCATGACATGTCTACTGCACAAACGTTCCGCATGAACGGACGTGTGGTGGAAATCAGCTCATGGTACACTACGTAATTTGGCAACATTCCGTCGTTGTCGGCACTCAACACAGATGATGGATGCACCTACAATCAACCAAAAACGTCAACATGTGGATGATCGTACGAAATTGGAAATGCTTCCCCATCCTTACTTAGTATCTGAGCTAATGATGTAATAGAAAATCTAACACTGTAACAGATAAAGGAGACTTGGATTGAGAAGTAATACCTGGACTAGCTGGGACTGGAAACTAAGAGTCCGGTATCCATTGTGACGAAGCATTCTCTCAGCAATTTGGTTTGCATTACCAACGCATAGAGCTTTCCTCAACTTCCTGTAGTCGTCTCGGCTTGAACTCTTCCTACCATGTGCCCCAACTTCCAATCGATCTAGTTTGTCAAGGAGATCAAATATTTTAGTGACGGTTTGTTATATATGATACATCCAACTATCAAATGGCACAAGAAAAAAGAGAGATGTTGACATAAACTCTGGTTCCGTAGGAGGCATAACCATTTAGTGGTGAAAGCCCTCTAGTAATATTAAATATTCTTGTCATGAAACAATACTAACCTTTGGATATTTTCTGCATAATCTGACATAACTGTCTTCTAACATCTTTGACAAACACCATCCCTCGCACCTGCAAATTATTTTTCAACAAAAGTTATCTTTCTTCCTATCGGCATAGGAACCCACATAATAATGTAGTGAGGCTTTTGATGTCACCATGCTTTTCACATGGAATTCTCGAAAATAGATAAGAAAGGAAGGAAATGGAAAAATTACCTGCATGCCGTTCTCTTTGCACCATGCAGGATCATAATTAGTACGGTCCCAAGATTCGAAAATCTGTAGCAGTTGAATGTGATCACCAAATCCGGATCCATTAGGAAGATTAGAATCATCATCATGCTTCCTCTTCTTTTCACTGGGTTTACTATCATGCAAGCAAAAACCATAAGACAAAAGTTGACGCATCTGTATCTAGTCAATGTGATTTTAAACATTTCATAATCTGACTCGGGTAAATTTTTAGCGTAAAAACTAACCTCCTAGCAGGAAGAAGAGTAGTCTCTGCTGACAGCATAGCAACGACTGTTAGAGCTTGAGATAAGCAACCGTTTTCATTCGCTTCTATCAATGTTCTTGACAATGATGGTTCTAGTGGAAGCTCTGTTGAACCGCAAATATGGTCCGTATGAGATAACAGCTCAAACTCGAAAAAAAATAAACAGTGGAAAAACTGCGCTAAAACATACCAGACATTGTCCGTCCAATCCTTGTTATTGCTCCATTCTCATCAATTGCATCAATGAAATACAATTGCTTCAACGCATCTTCTAATGACTCAGCTGAATATTATATGTACGACGAAAACCATAGAAATATTATATCACTTGAAAATTCAAAAATATCACAAAAAAAAAAGGAAAACAGCAGTTTGTGCATGACAAACCATCAATCCATTGATTTTGTAGAAAGCTTTATAAGAGGCATCAAACTCCAGATAGAAATAAGCTCTTACATGAAGGAGCATCAAGAAAATCGAACTTGAGAATGTCAATATCAGGAAGATCCAACGATTTCAAGTATAGAACACTCCCGGCAAGAGAAGTTCGTTGTATTTCAGGAATAGTTGCATCAAGGAAGTCATCTCGGTAGACTGCCAATGGGTATAAACGATAACATTTCCCAGGTCTTGTTCTGCCAGCACGTCCAGCACGTTGGTTAGCTTGCACTCTGGAAAACCAGAAATAAATTCAAAGTAAAATTAGCAAATAGGAGCTTGATAAACTGAGTAAGAAACCACAAGGATTCCTGAGTAAAAAATGTTATATCTGAATTTGATGAGGTCCTATTGAACCACTATAGTTACTTTTTGAGCCAATTGCAGATATCTTTTCTAGGTAAGGCTATAAATATCATCCCACATCAACTACAAGTTCATTATATGCACCAATAGATTAATACAAGGTTCATATTTAGCAAACAATTCAATGAAATGAATGAAGGTATTGAAACAAGACTCATTTGCTTACTTGCTAATTTGAATAACATCAAGAGAATACATTCCACTTGATGGGTTATATTGTCTTTGCTTCACATACCCGGAATCAATTACATACCTGTCAGAGATAAACAGGCTAGGCTGAGCATGCTATCGATCTCCAAATTGTCAAAACATTATTTGAAACTTGCTTAAAATGCAGACATGATACACAAGAAGACAGCTTTTGGCAACAGTGACAGGACTATTAGAACAATCACGCAGATTAAAGAATGCAGGGTGCGAAATTTTCTCATACTAAATTCAGTTTTGATCGCTTGACACAGAGACAGCATGAACTATTCATGTAGAAATAAATGTCTCAATCGTCTGTTTCAAGTCAAATTCCAAAAATAGTTCTCATAGACGTGGTTATGAACAACATGTACTGAAATGTGAAGTGAATTAAAAAGAGCGAGGAATATAACAAACAATGTTAAGCCGGCATCAAATATCTGATTGATCCCATTACTGGACCTAAATACACTATTGCAGTCTTCATGATTACTATTGAATGAAATATTACTCATTTTTTTTAACAGGACCTGACTTAAACACTGTCGTGCTGCAAGTATTCATATGTATGCAGTAAATAATGGACATACGGAGTATACGGCAGATACCAGACATGAAAACCAAAAACAACATTATAAACTTTAGGTTTAAAGTTTCTTACACAACCCCGTCCACAGTAAGGGAAGTTTCAGCAATATTTGTAGCAACAATAAATCTCCGGCAGTTTGGAGGAGGAGGACTAAATACACGAACCTGCAGAAATGGTGAAAGTCAAGACAAATTACCAAAACCTTTTAGACCACCAAGATCTCAATTTCCCAGAAACAAAATTCAGAAATGGACATTGAGTCCAATATTTTGTACCGAGATTCCAGAAATTGTTACCTGCATTTCAGGTGGCAAAGAACCGTGAAGAGGATAGATAATAGCATCCATACATGATCCTTCTGCTAAGCTTCGTACTTTTTCCTCTAGCTTTGATACTAATTTTTCTATATCATCCTATTAAAACCAAGATCGAGTAAGACAGGACGCAACAATCTATATAGTTATGCCAGATATCAATGAATAGAGTTGAAACAAATGATACAGACCTGTCCAGTCATGAAGATTAAGATATCACCTCCTGGCTCACGAACATGTATATCTACAAGTAACAACAAGGTTTTTTGTAATGTAACCGATAGTGTCAAAAATGAAACAAGTAAGATTAACCAAATCAAATTAAACTGACAACAGAAACACTCGACCTTGAACATACCAATTGCTACTTTCAGAGATGACTCAATATAACTGACAGGACGCTCTTTGCTGTATAATATTTCCACAGGGTATAATTTTCCAGGTACATTCAGCACAGGGCATCCCGAAAAGAATTCAGAAACCTTTTCACCGTCAAGTGTTGCAGAGGTTATAAGAACTTTAAAGTTGGATGCACGGATTCTAACCAACCGTTTCACTAGACCCAACAGAATATCCCTGATAACAATAGACCAGGTTCAGATATATTCTAGAGCCTTTGTGCATGTTTGAATGAGATCTTAATGCCATACGAAACAATGTACAATAAAAGGTACCGAGCAAACCGAGATAAAGTCTGAATATAGAAAAGACCTTACGTGTTTAAACTCCTCTCGTGAGCCTCATCCAATATGATTACAGAATAATCATCAAGCATTGGATTGGACAGACTCTCACGAAGTAGAACTCCATCTGTGAGGTACCTGGAGCCATAAACAATCCAACAATGAGGAAACCAAAGATGAATCATGTGAAATATTGATTAACACTAAACATTAATACATCTTCCATTACTTAATCCGTGTTTTGGTCGAAGTTCTGTCCTCGAAACGTATAGCATAACCAACATCTTCTCCAAGGGGTACATCAAGCTCCTGTGCGACTCGCCTGAAAACCAAATCCCAAAAAGACAATTCTGACATCTTACCGGAATCAACAAAGACGCAAGATGAGGAATCATGATTAAACAGACGGAAAATAACCTGGCAACGGAAACGGCAGCCACACGTCGGGGCTGAGTGATGGCGATGACGCCGGACTTTGTGTAACCATGTCGATGAAGTATCTGAGAGAGCTGAGTACTCTTCCCAGAACCGGTTTCTCCAATTATAACTACTACTGAGTTCTTCTCCACTGTTTCCACGATCTTCTCTTCAAATTGAAGGATCGGAAGATTCGCCATATCGCAGAGAAACACTCTAAGATCCTATCAAGTTCAACAATCGACAAAAGGAAACTGTAAACTGCAATTTCTGCTTAGCTTCAGTCTAAAATCTCTCTACAACGAAATTTATTCTCCGACGAACGACGCGACAGATTCAGAGTACACCGGAACCCTAATGGCTCACCGGCACTTCGAGAAATCTCAAATCAACACAATTTTCTTAAACATTTTCCGTTCAAAATCTCTGTGTATTTTATGAAAATGAAAAATAGAGCGAGAAAGATCAAACAAGCCCACAAGCGTACTTAAGACCCTCTCTTTCGTTCAGCGAGTCTTGTTCTTATCTTTTATCAATTTCGTATCTCGTCCTTTAACTTATAACAAATTTGTTTTAAGAGTACAAACATTTCTCATCAATGTTATAAAACCTACATACAGTACACTGTAATTTGTATAACCAGGACCCAAAAATCCTTGGGTATAAACTACATACCTATACAAGCATCTTTCTTTTTACCTCCAAGACTTTCAAAAAGAGATATTAAGTCTTTCTTTGAGATGGGAAAAACAAAGTACAACTTTACACCAACTATAGGTAAAAACCAGACTCAACACTGGTAAACTGAGAAGCTCTTGCTTTTCCATAGAAAACTGAATGCTCTTCCCATTTTCTTTCTCGAGGCTGATTTACACTGCGGTTTTGACTCTGTTACAGCGGCTGCAGCAACAGAGAATCCGTCCTCGGGGCTTGTGACTTCTGTATGTTGCGGTTCTGTTAGATGGGTTTGATCCCTCTGCCTCAATTCCCTGAATAGTGTCAGTAGCTTCTGTGCCCTTTCTCTTCCACGTTGAGTACCGTTTACGGAAATAGATACCAAAGACGGTATTACTCCTTCTTGTAAAACCATCTGGCTACATATCTCACTGTGATTGCATAATATGAGAAGCAAAGAAACAGCTTGTTCTTGCTCATTTGGTTCACCCGTGTCAAGAATGGTGCAGAGATTGCTCACAAGGCCAGGTGCTGAAACCATCTCGTCTTTTCCTGCCTCGTTCAAAACCAAATTTAGTAGAACAGCTAAGGACTTTTCTGTCCATCGTTGATCATCACTGATAGTGAGTGATTGAAGGGCGTTGACAATGTCAGAAGATAAAAGGCAGGGGATATTGGGAGGGTAGGTGGACAGGTGAAAAAGGGAGTGAAGGGCATCGACTTTGCACTGGACTTCTGTCTCGGTCCAAAGAAGATTTACCATGAAAGGAACTGCCAGACTCGAACCTATGACGGGCTTTGCTTCTTCAAGACACGAAAGGTTCAGATAAAGTGCCGTCACTGAACCATGGGAATGTGGATTACAGAGCATTTCCTCCAGCAGAGGAATAATTCCTGATGCTAGCATCAACTCCTTGTTCCTGAAATTTCCAAAAAAAATAAGACCAGAAATGAGATTTTCGAGTTTACAAGATAGGAATAACCTACTTTTATATTGTCATTGAAATCTTAGCCCATGATTACAAAACAAATTTGGTAGTACTAGGCAACTGAAAGTGTTACTAGACTAATTTAACTTATGGGCTTGATCGTTGAGAGAAAGAAACGAGACATCATTTGCTCACATACCTGTTGCTGTCCACAGCCAAGTTAAAGAGAGCCATGGCTCCAACTTTCTGGGCTGAAGCGTTATTTTCAGTAAGAGCTGATCCTAGAAACTGAAGCAACGCTTCAACACACCCATTTTCCCCCATGAGAATCCTGGCCTCCTCATCATCTTTTAGCAATACTCTTATCTGCTCAACAACTCTGCATTTCCTCCGTAAGGTATCCACTTCACTTAAAGTGGTCAACAATTCCGTACATCTTTCAACAAGAGTAACTTGATCTTCCTGGTATTCTGATTCACAGGCTTCCTCTTTGATGGTTCCACTTTCTTCCAAAGGAACCACCTTCACATCCTTCAACTTACAAGAACCAACACGTTTTACTGATCTCGTGTCGGTAGACTCGGACACAGACAACGCCAACCTCCAATAGTTAAGGTCTAGAGACTCAGGCGGTCCTTCAGGGGCCTGAACGCCGTTCTGTTCACACCAGCTAGAAATTAGAGCCTTGACACAATAGTTAGGAGTCAAGCATAGATGAGAAAGCTGCTGGTGAGTTTTGGGACATGTGTTGTGTCCATCACTAAACCATTTCTCGATACAGATTCTCTCATACGTTTGCCCAGACGCGATAATTACAGGGTCATACATAAGCTGCAAAGATATTGGACACCTCAATTCTTCTGGCGGAACAGATATCTGCAAAGATTTCCTATTGTTATTGCAAGATCTGAAGTTGAAGGAACTCAGTTTTGATAGCTGACGGTCAAATGCACGACCATGGGCATCGTCAAGAGAACCCTGGATAGTAGGTGAACAAGGCAATGAACTACTACCCTGTGAATCATTGTCATCCCAAATCTCACTTCTGAATAGCTTTGAGTATTTCCTCATGAGATGTAATAAATAAGCCACTATTGATTCTTTCCTCTTGTCATCCTCCATTCGGGCCCTCTCAATGAGTTTCTTGAGGCATCTTCGCTCTGTGAGAGCTGCTCTAGAAGAAGTGATACCTAGTCTAGTAGCAGCCTGATGGAAAACCTCAAGTTCATTATTATCAGTTGAGCTCTCAAAATTCCCCCCTTGTTGCAGCAATCCAATGATTTGATCCCCAATTTCCTTCTCTGATGGATCAAGTGAAAATTCGGTGTTCTCTAACTCCATCAAAATCTCCAAAAGCTGCAAAGTAGGATATAAATGTTTAAATAAAAGCACTGAACTCTACAGATATCGCTTCTCTGCTTTAACTTTCCCTCCACTTGCCGTTAGAGAAGAAACCAAAGATACATGTTTAAATAAAAGCACCAAGATACGGGAACACGAAGAACTAACTACCTGAGATCCAATAGACTGTTGGACTATATCTTCAACACGCCTAAGGCTATCTATAAGAGATGATTTCGCCTTCTCGAATTTCAAAACTACTGAGTCCCCTGTTATAGCCTACATGTCAAACCAGCTGGTTAGTGAGAGTATCCACAATAAGCAAAATATTCATTCTGAATTATTGAACACAGAAATATAAAAGAAAGCTTACCAAATAAAGTTTACTAGATTCAGTGCAATGGCGTAGAATGTTCTTCACTTTTTCTAAAACCACGTGAAGTGAACACAAAGCTTGAATACCAGATTTGCTTCTCGGCCGAGCAGCTTCAAGTGACGGGAAAATAGACATGATCTTGCAGTAGATCACTGAAAGAGCATTGCACATATCTCCGTGTAGCTGAAACAGGAATATGTTAGCCAATGCCTTACACTTACAGCCATAAGTAAGACATATTACAAACCACACAATTTTTTGTACATCACAGGATTTATCGAACAAAATCAATAACCAGAAACACATCTTGAGGGTATTAATTAAAACAAAGACGGATACAAAGGACACCAAGATACAGGATCAAGAATGTAATGTCTTAGGGAGAGATCTCAACCAAAAATGTCAATAAAAATTATTGAAAAAAAGTCTGATTAAGATACCTTGGCATCACCAGGGGCAAAGAAATTTTCTTCAACCTCATTAACATCCATTGCTTCAATAACTCGTCCTATAGTATATATATATCTATGAAAACAGCTCTATGTCGGCTTAAAGTTCAAAACTACAAGAAGAAAAAGAACCCGAATCAGTGACAAGTTAACAAATAAACCAATCTATAGAAGACAAGCCAGATAGAAATGCAATGTGTTCTGCCCAGAGAAAGTATATACAAACAGAGCAAAGAAGACGAAAAGGTGGTTGGTTGGGGCATTTCAACAAACAAATTAGATGCGAAATCATGAGAATACGAAAACCCCAAAAAATCAACAAAGCAAGATTCTTGGTTGTCAAGAAACAGAACACACGAACAAAAATCAAAAACCCCTAAAAGCAATCTGGTTAATTCCTCCAACAAATACCCAGATGAACACAAAAATCCGTTTTTTTGAATCGGGTGAAAAACAGAGGAACATACGTACCAAAAATGAATCTTTAATCTGCATCTGGTAGAAGTAGACTTAATAAAGAGAAGTCGATCACAAACCAAAACAGAGGATCAAAACAAGAGCATCAGAGGCATTAGTATAATGATTAGTTTCTTTGTTGAGATGCTGTTTCTGGGTAGTTTCTACGAAGGTCTCTGATTTACAAGTTTCCGAGTTTATCAAGGCAAGTTTCTCGATCCCAACAATAAGAGAGAAGAGAGGTTTGGCTATGGCTGATACCGAATGGAGATTTTTTTGAAGGAAAATAAAAATAAATATTTTTTTAGTGAAAGAAAAGAAGAAGAAGTTCTTCTCAAGTCAAAATAAAGCCAAAACTTGCGAGTGGCAATTGCAAGGTCGCAAGTACACACACAACAGATTTGTCTTTTATTTTATTTTATTTTTAATTATGTTTTTTGTAAGAAAAAGATTCTGTTATTCTTTAATCATTAATCAACTCACTTAATTTTTCAAATGATTTTGAATATTACTAGATTTGCATTTAGCAACGGTATTATTAGGGGACATTTTAATTATTGCAACACCCAAAAAAGAAAAACAGCTTCTTAAGATACTCATAATTTCGATTTCTCGGATGTGGTAAAAACATATCAAAATGCAATGTAATTTCGTGAAAATAAAATGCAGTGTAGTTTCAAATGTGTGCTGTTCTGTTTTGTTTCCATATATCTTCTTCAATAGAACCTGAAGTGAAGTTTATATATTCACATAAATTGTTGATCATTATATACCAAAAAGATTTCATTCTAATTGGATTTTCTAATTTTATACTATAGAAGTTTCTTTTTTTGGTCGACTGGTAGTTGAAAATGACTAATAAAATAATAGAGATACAATGATGTAGAATAAACAGCTTTTGACATTTTTTTTCTACATAAAAATAAAGTATGGCGAAGGGGCAGTGAGAGGTCCAATTTTCACCGACATTTCATGTTGTAATAAACACGTCTTTCATATTATATTATTTATTCCAAAAAAAAAAAACTACAGGTTCACCTCTATTGACTAGGACTTGTGGGCCAGTGGTCTTAGTCATTGGTTGTCTCTCTGTCAACGGGTTCGAGTGGACTCGGTTGAAATAAAAAGTTCATCGTCAGCCATAGTGTACTGTTGACGAATGACAATACATTCGATGTCAAAAAAAGGACTACATATTGCATAAATGAGTAAAATTATCTTCCTATTTTTTTTTATCACCGAATGTTCTAGTTATTCTAATTACAAAAATTGACGAAGATGATGGTCTTTGGTTTAATTTTAAAATGTTGGTAACAAGAACTAGTTAAATTTTGATGAATCGACTCTAATTTGTAACAAGTTAGCTTGTAATAATCTAATGATCTAAATTTTGCTGAACTAGTTAACTTGAATCGAACTTTAGGTCATTGTTTTTGAGTCCTCCAAGTTAATGTTACTTAAAGCAAATAATGAATAAACAGCAACTAAAGGAAATTAAGAAACAAATGTTTGAATTGGGTTACAGAGGGAGAGTTGAAGAGATTTGCCGACTTCGACGGCCGACACGCGCCGACAATACATGCATATGTCGGCTATTTAGATCTCTACATTCAATTATCCTAAATTACAATAATACCTTCTCTCTAACTCTCTTACTAATATTCTTTGAATCCCCCTTTATTATTTTTTGTTTTATGTTTTTTTTTTAGAAATTACTTGTTGTCAACCATGTTCGCTTTTTTTGAATTATTCTGTCCCAACATTTGTAATGATTTATACATTAATTTTGCGATTTGATATTAAAGTACTCCAAAAAAAATATTAAAGGCTAACATTGTCGTTTTTTTATATATAAATTAATTATCGCTTAATAGTAAAATAACGTTGAGTTGGGTCATGGTCCTCTTGGATAGAAGAGGCTGAAAATCCTTTAGCATTTTTGGGGTCTAAATGGTAACCGAAGAATCTGGTTGAATCCGGCTGAATTGTTGAATCTGGCTGAATTTTTAGTGATTTTCAGCTGAATCTGGCTGAATTTTTACATTTTCAAATGGTAACCGCTGAATCTAGCTGAATTTTTTGTGATTTTTAGTAGTATCTATCACATTAATTAAAACTTTAACTGAAACATATCGTCAAATACTTATGAATATTAATAGAATAATTAAAAAATATCTAAATAAACTAGATATATAAAATTATCCAATGGTCTAATTAACTATTATACTAATAAATAAATACTAAATTATCTAAAATTAATACTAATATAAATAATATATTGGTTAGCAAAATTGAGTTATTCTTTCATATTTAATTTTTGAACAATGAAAAATATGTAAATAATTAATGAAAGCTTTGTAAAGCATTATTGAAAACTTGATTTCAAAAATTAACATGATAATAAAATATAAATTATCTAATTATTTTTTCTATTGTTTTCTAGTATTTAAATCAATAATATGATCAGATTAAGAAAATTATTAAAAAAAAATTGATATTTTAAGTAATATTTTAGTATGAGTTACGTTGTTTTGTGAAGTTTTAAAATTTTATTTTAAATTATCTAAAAATTATTAAAATTATCTATAGTTATCCGAACATGAATTTGTCTCTTTTCTATTCTGGTAGTGATATATTATGCATCTGAATTATTCATATATCGTATATGTATAATTTAATTTATTTTAAAATATAAATTTGTTGTATAATTTTTGATATCTAAAATATTTTAGTTCAATTTAAGTACTCGTTCTTATCCGAATTTTTACAAGAAATGAATACATCTACGTATCTGTTGGTATTGAAAAAACTGCTGAATCTGGCTGAATTCAGCTGAATTTAGTTTTATGCAAATGATAACTGCGGAATTACTGAATCTGGCTGAATGTTTTTATTATGTTACCATTTGGAGCCTTGGTTTGTTGGATTGGATCGTACATATATCCGACTGAAAATTTAATATATTTGTTAATTAGTTGAGGGTCTCCTCTTCTTATTTATTTAAGAGACGTACCAAATAAGTCATTATAAAGTACTAACTCTCGGAAATTTGTCCACGAGTAACAATGTAAACCTCAGATGTGGTCAATGAAAAATATAAAGGATTTTAAAATGATGTCTAAAAAATTAAATTTATAATTGTCCTTCCACAACAGAAATATGAACATTAAACCCGAAAAAAAAAAAAGTCAAATATTGATCTATCACTGATAAAAAAAACAGAGGAATTAGTTTCACTTATACAAAAGCAGAGGAATTTTAAGGGGAGAAAAATCACAAAGAACTTGATAACCAAAGAGATTTACCTAATCCACAAAGAAAAAAGAAGCTATGTTGTAAAGAACCCACATGGTGAAGAATCTCTGTCGATTTCGATTTTGTATTTAGATAAAACAGTAATAAGCAAAAAAAGTTAGCACTACAGGTTTGCTTAGGAATCAAGTTTTGTCTAGTATAAACAAAAAACACATCTCTCTCTGGCTTTTCATACAGCAGAAGCAAACGCATCAGCACAAAAGCGACTTCTAAACTTTACCATGAAGTTGAGAGAGAGAAAGAGAAAGAGACATAAGCTGAAGAATCAAAGAGGAGGAGGGAGATGCGGATGAGCCTTCACTTCAACAAGAAGCTTCTGTAGCAGAATATGTGTCACTTTCACACTTGTCTTCAAAGCAAAACCTGCACCAATAGCACAAAGCTCATACCTCAATTGCAGCAGAAAAGAAAAGACAACATTGCAGAGCTATCCATCCGAAGATGGGATCCCTTCAGACACCGATAGGAATGAGAAGCTCCTCTTTGTTAGATACATCCTGCGGATATTTGCTCAGAGAGTTACAGGCAAGTTTGTTTGATGGTTCTTTCTGTTTCTTTGAAGTATAATGGTTCATAATCAAGAATTATCTAACAGATGGATGGTCACTGTTTTGTGCACAGATGATATGGGATGAAGTTGGAGAAGATAAGTTTGAGAGAGAAAAAGTGTTGCTTGATATAGAGCAGGAATGTGTAGAGGCTTACCGGAGAAAAGTTGACCAGGCCAATGTTTCAAGGTCTCGTCTACATCAAGAGCTGGCAGAAACTGAAGCCGAAGTCACCCATTTTCTTTTGTGCCTCGGTGAAAGATCAGTACCTGGAAGGGTAATTTTCATTCTTTAATATCCATTATGAAGCAAAGATTATTCATTTAAGCAAAACCAAGACTAGTCCACATTTTTAGATAATTTTGTTGTCATTCTCTATACAGCCGGAGAAAAAGGGAGGAACACTGAGGGAGCAGCTGGACTCTATTGCACCTGCACTGCGTGAGATGAGGCAGAGGAAAGATGAGAGAGTGAAGCAGTTCCGATCTGTCAAAGGGGAAATTCAGAAAATTTCAGCAGAAATAGCAGGTAAACCAACATATGAAGACTCATCTAGAAAGATAACCATAGATGACAACGATCTTTCTGATAAGAAACTCGAGGAATATCAGAACGAACTGCATAGACTCAATGATGAGAAGGTACATTTGTAATACCAAATTGGGAAACATTTTGTGAACATGCCTTGCTTTTACTTATCAGACAGTTCTATCTTATCCATCATGTGGTGTCTTTGATTGTTTTGTCACACAAGAATGAGAGACTACAGAAGGTTGATATATACATATGCGCCATTCGAGATCTATCAGCTACATTGGGTACAGAAGCATCAATGATCATAACAAAGATTCACCCAAGCCTGAACGACCTCTATGGAATATCCAAAAACATCAGTGATGATATCTTAAAAAAGCTTAATGGCACTGTTGTGTCTCTCGAAGAGGAAAAGCACAAGCGCCTTGAAAAGGTGAAGTTAATTAGACATGTTTCATTTCATTATCTATCCTCAGAATATATAGCTTAACAAATAACTTGAAACACAAATTAATCAGTAAAGAGACGCACATTTATCAAAGAGAAAAGAGGTTGTTATCTGACCTTTTAAGACATCATTTGTGCAGCTTCACCATCTTGGTAGAGCTTTATCGGACTTGTGGGATCTGATGGATGCATCTTATGAAGATCGTCAAAAGTTTTCTCACGTCATTGATTTACTATCATTTGCACCATCAGACGTGTGTGCTCCTGGCAGCATTACATTAGACATAATTCAACAGGTAAGTATATAATTATGTAGACATGTAGTACAGTGGTTCCGTACCAATGATAACTGATGTTGACCGCCTTTTCTTTTGTGCAAAATTTTTCCCAAGGCTGAGGCTGAAGTCAAGAGACTAGATCAACTGAAAGCAAGCAGAACCAAAGAACTTTTCCTCAAGAAGCAAAAGGAACTAGAGGATACATGCAACATATCGCATATGGAAACTCCATCAACCGAAATAGGAAATATAATGAACCTTGTAGACTCCGGTGAGGCTAACTGTAACTTTCTGCAACTGCTGGGTGTCTTTGTTATACATGTCAAACTCATTGCAGAGTTTTCATACTCTATTTGAAAGGAGAAATTGACCACGTCGACCTTCTCACCGCCATGGATGAAAAGATAGCAAGAGCAAAGGAAGAAGCAGCAAGTAGAAAAGGAATAATTGAAAAAGTGGATAGGTGGATGTTGGCAAGTGATGAAGAGCGCTGGCTAGAAGAATATGACCAGGTTCCGCTATTCTCAAATCACTTTTCTGTGAAAGTAGCTACATTTTTCCTCTGTACTCTAACTCATTCAAGAAACACTAACGTTGTCACAGGATGAGAATCGGTACTCAGTAAGTAGCAATGCTCATCGAAACCTAAGGAGAGCAGAACGGGCACGCATAACAGTCAGCAAAATCACAGGTAATATAAGCAGTTCCATGGGGTCCAACACGAATAAAGCTACAAACGACCCTGCATTTTCTTTAAGTTATGAAGCAACTACAAACTGACCCTTGTATGATATTCCTACCAGGATTAGTGGAATCTATATTGGTTAAGACTAAGAGCTGGGAGGTAGAAAGACAGAAAGTATTCTTATACCATGAGGTAACACAACATTATGCCTTTGTGAATGAACAATGATTAACTCTGAATTAGATAGAAACATCACCTGTTACCTCTCCAGGTACCTCTTGTTGCAATGTTGCAAGAATACAATAAGCTGAGGCAGGAAAAAGAAGTGGAGAAGCAAAGGCTCCGGGTTAGTCTCTCAAAAATCCATGACTAACCAAACTTTATAAGGAAATTGGAACAAGTTTGACAATAAAATGCAGGAAATGAAGAAGATGAGCATTCCACAACCTGTGGCTGAGCCAGATAGTTTTTACATGTCAAGGCCAGCTACCAGCAATCGGCGAATAACAAACCGAAGCATCAATGGTGGAAGTCCTATAAACCGAAAGTATTCAGGAGGGTTCAGCAACAATACTAGTAATTACACAGCACTTGGAACATCTATGAGAAGAGAAAGCAGAAAGAGTCAGGCATCAAAAATACCTGTCCTTAGGCTTAATCGTGATGACACAACTTCTGTTGTATCACTGTTTTCAGGTCCATTGTCTCCTTGAACACTTGTTCATTTATATGTTTTCACATTCAAAAATAAAAGTATAATCCTGTAACAAAAAGACTTGAGTTATGACTTTGGGAATCTGTGTGTTTCATTAGAGCCTCCACTCACACAAGTTCATGTTTTCATAGATTGAGCTTCCACAATCTTTGACAGTGAAAATTCCGAGTTATAGGAAAATGTTAGAATCGACTCCAAATTTCAAGGCAAAATGAGAGAGGAAAGGCGTTGAAATTGAGATACGTATAATTATTGGCTAAGCCCAATTCAACGACAAGAGAGATACCTGTATTCACTAGTTAGTCGGCTACCCAGCCGGCGTTGGTCCGGCGGAATGATCCACCGGTCTGAATTTTTAATTATTATTTTTTGGTCAAAAGAATTATATATCTAATATAAATGTTACAGTATATTTAACAAAAATAAATAAATGTTATCGTATAAATGAAGGTTTATTATTATTAATTTATTATCACTAATCAGTAATCACTCTATACTAGGAGTAGGAGGACCCCGTGATCAGTACAACTAGTTCCTAAAGCAAAAGTGTATCTTGAAGTTGAGCCTAACAAATTGTGTATTGGAGAATTGGAGAAATAGTTTTGAAAGAAAAAAAGAAAAATAGGGTTGGCCATCAATTTTCTCTGCGGAACTATATTGTATAGCCATCAGATTTACACAAATGTTGGACCTCTATCTATTTCTTCATCAAAACAAAGTTTTAAACTTATTTTTTTTGTCAACCGCTCTATTGGAATGGCTCAAATGAGCCAATGTGGAGGAATGTTGTTTACATAAGTAGATAGTTGCGGTAGGGTACGAACATTTCGTGCCAATTTATCCGTCTTCACATTCAAATTTCTAGAAATTAACGATAAAGAGAAAAAATCAAACTCCTCCTTGTCGCTCTGAATCGTCTCCAAGTAAGTCGCGAACGCTGGCCAATCTAGTGGGGAAGACACCATCTTCACCAAATCGGAGCAGTCTGTAAGGAAAGCTACTTCTCTTTTATCTTGGCCGATCATACATCTCATCGCCCAGATTAGTGCTTCAACCTCTGTGTGGAGTGAGGTCAAGCTTCTTCGAGTATTTGCAGCTCCCATGTCGTGCGTTTCTTCGTTTGGATACGAACAAAACCATCCTAATCCTGAAAAACAATCACTTTCTTTCCAAGAACCATCTAAGAAACATCGATAACCTGATCTATTATGCCCGATATGTTCCACTCTACAATGAGATTGATTAATTGTTGCCACCGTTTTTAGGTTATCATCCGAGATCTCTACCTGAGCCAATTGTCAGGCTTGCTCTTCATTTTCTGCCAATCTTAATATATCAATTGAGCTTTGGTCCATATTATTAAACATGTTATCATTTCTGGCTTTCCACAAATACCAAATAATCCACGGGAACATCGATGTATAGACCTCTGAGAGTGTTCTCCAAATAAATAATTCATATTTGCATATTGTGATCCTGATGGGAAAATATCTGGTGCGGGATTGTGGGGATCTGTGATAAAGCCCAAGTCTGACGCGCAGGTGGACATTCAAAGAGAGCATGGTTAATTGACTCTTCTGAAGCTCCACATCGATCACATCTAGTATCGCAATTAATATCTCTCCTGCGCAGATTTGAGGTAACCGAAACACATTACACATCCAGTTAAGTTTTAAACTTATTTACATCCGAGTTTAAACTGATCCATATCAAGATGAGAAATAATAAATATGGATTGATGAACACAGTTTATGCATTCTTGTGCCAAAAAAAAACTAAAGAAAGTAAACTCGTTGTCTATTTATCTATTAGTTTTGATTCAAACAATCAAACTCAAACTATAAGGTATTACATAATATCAAGATAATTTTGGTTTATTTTGGTCAAGTAAACTGTTGTGGTGCTCTAGCGTAAAAATTCAAAAGGAAAATATTACCATCATTGTATTATTTATTATTTTCACCACTCGTAAAATTCAAATAAAAGACTTTTCCATATTTTTGTTGTTGTTGTTGAATTCTTTTGTTTTTTACGTATTAATAAGTTTTTTCCTTTTTCTTTCTAAAGAAAAACATAGAATAATCCAATAAATGTACAAATAAACTTCTTCTTTTCTTTTCTATACGTCCTTTTCAAGGGAAAACGGTCTATTTCTCCACGAGAACTATCACATCATAACAGATAGAGCCCAAAGTATGACCTCGGTCTATGTATCTCTAAAACTAAAGTTCTATACCTATTTCCCCCTGAAATATAAGTTCTATATCTAAATCTCTCCGAATTATTAGTTCGAGATCTATTAACCCACAATCATGAGTTTCGTCGGTTTAGTATTTACTTAACCGATTATAAAATAAACTAAACCCAATTAAACCAGAAAAAACCAGATTTTTTTAATATCTTTCTCTCTTTCTCTTCAATCACTGTTAAATACTCAAAGACAGCAATTTTAACATATAAATTCGAAGATTATATACATTCACATTGATTTTGTTCAAAAAAAAAAAAAAAATCATTCACATTGATTTTGTTCAAAAAAAAGTTCACGTAGTTCTCATATGAACTTGAGATTTATTGAAACCCAATAGTCATCTATCCATATAAACAAATCTGATGCATTCTTCAATCAATTTCAATTCTTTACCATCTAATCTCTCGTTTCTGGTCTGAAATAATTAGGGTGCCGTTTCAATAGAATTTATCAAGGAATTCGATTTATTAGCAAAATAATAGACGAACCCTACACGGAATGAAACTGTCGTTTCTCCCCCGAAGAGAAGGCTTAACTTTTCATAAAAGCACAACTATAAGCAAATGAAAACCCAAAACTGGAAACGAGAGATATCGATCCGAATTTGATAAAACGAGAGATTCAGATTTCATGGGTATTAACGTCTTCTTGTTTCTCACACTCATTGACTCTTCATAAGAAAATTGCAATCCTAGAAAGAAGATCGGCCATGGCTGAGAAGAAGAGCAAGAGGAAGAAGTTTGAGGAATTGGGTCTTCTCCGCCATTGTTACTATTGTGAAGCTTCTCAACTTCTCTCTCCTCTATTATCAATGAAGACAAATGACTTTTGTTTTTCTCTTTAATTAATTTAATTACTCTCAGATATCGTAATTAGTCTCCCAAATTGACATTAGAGAAATAAATTAGAAAAATCTGGTTTTTTTCTGGTTTAATTGGGTTTACTTTTTTTACTAATCGGTTAAGTAAATAGTAAACCGACAAAACCCAGGATTGTGGGTTAATAGATCTCAAACTATTAATTCGGGTAGATTTATATATAGAACTTATATTTCAAGGGGAAATATGTATAGAACTTTAGTTTTAGAGATATATAGACCGAGGTCATACTTTGGGCTCTATCTGTTATGATGCAATAGTTTTCGTGGGGAATTTTTTCTCTATTACCTATATTTTCCATTACTCTAACACAATACTAGACACATCCAAAGTATTTCCTTACATATATACGGTTATGTACATGTGCAACTGGTGCAGTTGCACTGGGTCAGCAAATTTAAGGCCCAAATTTTATAAGTTTTTATTGTATTTGTTTAAGTATGCTGAAGCTTTATAACATATGTCCATTTAAAGGCCTTAAAATAACAAGTCCAAATTAAAATAACAAAACCTAAAAGTCAACTATTGTTTCTTCTTTTTCTCAGAAACGTTATTGACTCCTCCTTATTCTCCAAAAGCTGCGCAAGATAATATGGAGGTCAATCAAATTGTCCAAGAGGTAAATCATTTATTCTTCTCTTAATTACAAATTAGCCGTTACAGATTTCCAATTGTCTTAATATAACAAATATTTTCTCAATTTCAATACGTTCTTGAGTTTTCTATTGATATTTTTCTTTCTCCTGAAAATTCTTTGTAGCAATTGATTTGTCCTTCTTTCCCAATCAATTCTCAATATTCCTCAACTCCAGCAGTAGCGGAATTTCTCTGTTCAACAAGCTTCAAGCCTCCAATATAATTCTCTTCATTATCCAGGTTTTATTGTTTTTACGATTCCTTAGTTAGATTTTTTTTATTTTGTTATTACTTGAATTTTGGGTATTAAATCTGTGTTAAATATGTCTGGCCATGATAAAAGGCAAAAAAGAAAACATATAGAACAATTTACTCAATCTCAAAAAGGAGCTTTAGATAAATTCATTGTTAAAAGAACGCATGAAAAAGAAAAATTTGATGATATTGGTGGTTCTAATGCTCATGTAGATAACAATAATATAGATAATATAGAAGTAGTAGATGTTAATGAAGTGCTTGAAAAATTTGATGATGTTGGTGTTTCTAGTGTTCTTGATATATATGATCCAAGAAATTGGGATATGCTTGATTCAAAAGTGATAGCAACTTTAGTTAATGGACCAAAAAGAGATTTATCTATTGTCAAAGGTCCTAAAAATAAGGTTCATAGAAGATTTGTTTCATCTTGCTATATTAGAAAGTTATCAAATGGAGAAACAAGTGATAGAAAGTGGCTAGTTTATTCAAAAGAATTAGATAAAGTTTTTTGCTTTTGTTGTAAGATTTTTAAGAAAGGTATTCGTAGAAGTCAATTAGCAAAAGAAGGTCTTTCGGATTGGAGTCATATATTTGTTAGATTAAATGAGCATGAAAAAAGTAAAGAACATATACTTAATATGACATCTTGGGTTGAATTACGGTGTAGACTTTCAAAAAATGAAACTATTGATAAAGTTGCTCAAGAACAATTTAAGAAAGAAAAAGAATAGGATTTTATTTGTTACAGCACCGGGTCTCGCCGACGCACGAGCCGGGCCTGCATATATATTCAGTATAATCTTACTATTAATTAACAATATGGTTACAAAAAAACAGATACGACTTAATTATGGTGACTATTTGGATTCTATTTATAGAAGTTGAAATGTATGGAATAGTTGAAGCAGATTTTTAGAAGACACCTCTTATTGGTTTTTGTTTCCACTTGTATTTTTCCACGAGATCTAATATTGGTAAACCGTCCACACCGCAACTTGTACATTTTATAAAATGCCGCTTGGGTTTGAATGAAAATCCAACACACAGATTTATCGAGAGATTCTTGTCGTCATAGCTATTTTCCTTTTAATTAATTTTAAAAGGAAATATGCAATAATTACCTTACGTGACGTCAGAAGAAAAGTCTTGAGTTAGGACCACACCACATGATTATCTCCAATGGCTCTATTTCTTGCTCTAAATTTGGAGTGCTCTAAAAATAGAGCAGAAGTTTGCTCCAATAGTTGGCTCTATTTTTTGCTCTAAAATAAATAATGTATTTTAATATTTTGCTTTAATTTTTTATATGGTCCTATATTTTCAAAGTTTGCAAATTTTATCCACTTAGTTTATTTTGACATAAATATCTAATAAAACCATATTATTAAAAACTAAATTTTATTACAACACATAAATAGAAGATTGAAAGATTAATATATTTTTATTTTAGCATCATCATTAGTGTACTTCTCCCACAAATGATCGACTAATGCATTTCTAAGTGAAAAATGAGCTTCTTTGTCTTTGATTTGTTGATATCGAGCAAAAAATTCTTGAAATCGAGTACTTTCATCCTCCGCTAGTTCGACCTCTGGAGGTGGATCTTCTCTTCCAACTTCAATTGGTGCATTTAGATCACGCTCATCTTCGATTATCATGTTATGTATAATTATACATGTAGTCATTATATCATGTATCACCTTTTTATCCCAAAACCGAGCCGGTCCTTTGACAATATTTCGATGATTTTAGTGGATCTGGAAACGACCTACCGGATTATTAAATCACTAGTTTATGGTGTGTTAATTTTTTTTTAACGGCAAGTTTAATTTTGTTTATGTACTTTTAGTTTATCATTTGTGTTGGTATTTGTGTTTGTATTGTTTTTCTAATTTAATATATGTTATTGTTATATTTTTAAATTTCAATTAATTTAGTAACTATGATATTAATATAAAATTATGTATGTATATAATTTAATTATATAATTTTGTTTAGGTAAAAAATGATACTATATAAAAATTGAGGGAGTCCTTTGTAAATAAAAAATGTGTGCTCTAAAAATAGAGATATGAATAGTGTTGCTCCAAATTTAGAGCAACACTATTCATATCTCTATTTTTAAAACAAGATATAGAGCACCATTGGAGTGATTTTGCTCCAAATATAGAGTTTAGAACAAGATATAGAGCACCATTGGAGATGCTCTAAACATAAAAAAAAAGTCTTCAAAACGAGTTAAGTAAGAATTCGGCTGATTAAAAATGTCTACGTTCTCCTCAAATAATTTATTTAGATTCTTATACGATAAAAATGACTAGTTATCATAGTGTATATGATAAAAATGTGATATAGAATGCCGATGCCCCATGAAATTTTGGAAAGTCTGTAACTAACAATAACGAAACACGAGATGCAGATCCAAAACTGTCGGCACTAAATCAGATAATATAAGTGAACCCAATGCTGTAATAAGACTCCTCGAAAAAAGTAAGATAAAAAGGGCAAAAGAGGAAATAAGGAGAGAGACGTGTCGCAATCTTAGCAAAACCTATAGTCACCAGAGTCAATCGTAGCGTTCGCAGCCGCCGGAGGAATAGCGAAATGCCATAACCTCCCAGCGGCGTTGACTCTATACTTCCGGCATAAAAACTCTTCGGCGAAAGTCTTCTCCACCCTCCGATTAATATCGTGCAAGAACACGTGCGTAACTCCAGGTTTCTTCCGGTTCCTAGCCATGACCGCCGCCGAGAAAATCGCCGCCATTCTTCCCGGAGCTTCAGGGAAGTAACCTTTAGGAGCATCGAGCATTAACAGATCCCACTCTGTATCGTAGAACTCATCGGGGAGTCCCGTGAGAGCTAGCTTACACTTCTCGTTTCCCCGGAGATAAGATTTCGCCGGAAAACAGTTTGGCTCCGTTTTGTACGAGCGAAGAAGCGAATCGGCTTGTTGAAGCTGCGTCCTGTAACGCACGTGATGCGCACGTAAGAAAGGAGAGTCTTTGGTCACTTTCTGAAACCATTCAAGATCTTCTTCCAAGAACAAGGTTTTCCCACGTGGATTTAAAGAAGCCCACATGAGCGAGTCGCGGCCGAGACCAAACACGAGGAAGTTAGCCGGAGCTAGCTTTTTCAAGATGTTGAAAGAGATCGAGATCTCAGCAAGATTCTGTTGTGGGACAACGGTAGATGTCGCGTAGTGGACGATCGCTTGAAGCTGGATCGGAGTCGCTGCATAATCAGCCGCTGCAGCCACCGCTCTGCTTTTGGCGTTCGCGGTGGAACAGAGGAAGAGAGTTTCGTCAGCGGCTCGTATGAAGCTTGTGAAGAGTAAAGCACCGCCAACTAAACCCGCGAGTAAAACACCGGTGATGATCCATCGTTTCTCCGATGGGATTAACGTGTTCATGTTTTGTTCGATCTCAGATCTGATTATTTTTTATCTATTTTTGTTCTGGTTTTGTGGTTTGGTCGAGAGACGACCTCGGAGGAGAAAATAGAAATGTGAAGAGGATTGTTCATTGGGGGACTGAATAGCGGAAAAAGATTTGGGATATTTTTTCTTGGAGATGGTCTGATTAAATGACACGTGTCGATATCCGACCATTGAAGTAACTTTGGCTGAAGTGGATGATGTGAACAAGACACGTAACAGTGGCTTATTCGAATTTTGAAAAAATATCTGTGGACATATGTTATTTTAATTGGAGTATGGGGTTTCGTGCCCACTTGTTTACTAAAGATAACTATTAACAAAGATCGTTCATGTCAAATACTCCCATACAATATCATTTTTTCGTCTCAATACGTTTGTAATCTGTTATTGTTCAAGCTATAAATGTTGTTTGTCATAAGATCCGTTTACTACTACATTTGAGTACTTAGCTCAAATTCAAAATCCAAAAATTTGTATTTCTTAAACCAGTTTTTGAGTTAAATTTCTGATTTTTATGTTTTTTTTTTTTTTTGAAACTGTAAGTAAGAACGTAGGTTTCATAAGATTTTAGTGATTTTGTAGTGAATCGTTCGACAAATAGGGAGTGAACAAATTTTCGTCATTTAAGTTCCAACTATTTGGCTGGCCTTAACTGATGGTCGATACGAGTAATGGCCATTGGCCAAATGATGATGGATAGAACCTCAAGATCTTAGTTTGCAAGGATTACATTCGTCTGGTAATGAATATAATCGTTAATTTTGTTAATTGATTTTTAACCAAGCCTGTTTTAAAGAGCCAATAATATAACATTCTCTGCTATTTATTTTTCCTTAAAGTTTACAAAGGTGTTTTTGTGTCCAGACTCCAGATATTCCTGACATCGTATGATATATATCATAGACTCTATGTGTGTATATATTAGTTTTTTAAAAACCAATCAAAAGAAACTTCAAAGATTACGAGTCAAACCACTTCTTGAAGATTCGTCAATTGCTTATAAAACCCATTAGGTATTGAAACGAGCTCTCTATGGCTTCCCTTCTCCACAACTCTTCCCTTATGCAACACAGCGATCGTGTCTGCTTTTCTTATGGTCGAGAGCCTATGAGCCACCAATACAGTGGTTCGTCCCTTCATCAGCTTGTCTAGCGCCTCTTGGACTAGTTTCTCCGAACTCGTGTCCAAAGCACTTGTTGCCTCATCAAGGAGAAGCACTGAAGGATCCTTTAAAACCGCCCGTGCAATAGCCACTCTCTGTTTCTGACCACCTGATAACTGTACTCCCTTATCACCTACGTACGTCTTGTACCCTTCTTCCATCCTGCTTATGAACTCGTGCGCGTTCGCGGCCTTTGCGGCTTCGATGATCTCTGACTCTGATGCGTTCTCGTTCCCGTACTTGATGTTCTCGTGTATTGTTGTTGAAAACAGAGCTGGTTCTTGCTGGACTAAAGCTAGCTTCTTGCGCAAGCTACGTAGGTTTAGGGTTTTTATGTCCTGCCCATCGATGCAGAGATTTCCGTGGCTAGGGTCGTAGAATCTCATGATCAGTCCTATCACTGTGCTTTTTCCAGAACCACTAGGCCCCACGACTGCAAGACTTTTCCCGGCTGAAACTCGGAGGTTTAGGTTTTGGAAAATGTTAATATCGGGTCTCGTGGGATACACAAAACTCACGTTTCTAAACTCTATATCTCCTTTGATCTGACTAACCATTCTTGAGTTAGGCTGGTCTGGAGGTATCTCAGTCTCTCTATGTAAAACCCTGAAAACTGACCCAAGTGCTTGCGTGCCCTTCACGATATCTGGGGTCAAAGCAAGCGTTTCTGAAACTGAGAAAGCTGTGACGATCAACACCATGAAGGATTTGATACTATCCCCAAAATTCGTCTCCTTATTCTTGATCGAAACCGATACGTACCAGAGACCAAGAGCGTAGGAGCAGAACGCAAGAAACTGAGATAATCCGTATCCAAATCCAGAGATATGACCTCTAACAAAGGCATTCTTGGTGGGCTTGCTTAGCTCACAAGTAAACTGTTCCGCGATCTGCTTTTCGGCACCAAACGCAGCAACAGTTCTTATATTTGCAATTGCTTCACGCGCCACTGAAGTTGCTCTAGAGTAAGCCCTTGTGTAGTCTCCTCCAAAGCCTTTTAGAAATAGTTGCTATAACATGTAACATTCAAGCTTATTCAGTTTCAAGATTTATAGTATAGTTGAGAGGATCTTTGATTCTGAGTTACCTCAGTAAGTGAAGCGGCAATGAGAAGAGGAAAACAAGCCGTTACGACTGCTGCAACACGCCAACTGTAATAAAAGGCAAGTGCTAATGCTGTGACTGTAAGAGACAAGTTTTGCACTATTGTCGAGAGGCGATCCGCTAGAGCACTCCTCACCAAAGTTGCATCAGCAGCCAAGATTGAAGTAAGTGAGCCAGTGTTGTTCTCATCCAGATCAAACCATCCAATCTCATTTGAAAGAATCGCTGCAATTGTTGTAGAGATAGTAAGATACACATTAATTCAAGAATCAAATCGATCCCATAACAGAGCATTAAACAGAGCAATTGTTTTTTGTTTACCTGAGAACAAGGATAAGCGAACCCGAGAAGTAAGACGCTCTCCCATAAGTGTATAGAAGTAATGTTGGAGAAGATATATAGGTGCTGTTACTATTCCAACTCCAACAAAGATAATAGCTACCTTTTCTACGTCGCGCATGATCGCATTAGGAAAAGGCGAATAAAATGCAGTTAACACATAAGCAATCCCCATAGAGAACAATGGAGTTTGTGCTCCAGCAAGAACTGCACCAATTGAGCCAAGTAATGCATATGGCCATTCTGGAGAATTCAGCTTTATAAGTTCCCATATCATTGAAGATGAGCTAAAATCTTTGTCATTTGAATCATTTTCAGTCTTCACTTGGTCTTCCCTGAAGCTTGAAGTCCTCCTTGAGCTAGAAATTCTTCTTGAACTAGAAGATCCAGCTTGAGATTTACAAGTTTCAGACATAATTGATCTCGAGTTTTCTTGAGGTTCTGTCTCTTGGCAATTGACAAGAGTTGCGTAATCTCCTCCTCTTGACATCAATTCTGAGTGGCTTCCGGTTTCCGTAACCTGACCATTTCTCAATACAACAATCTTGTCAACATTTCGAATGGTAGATAATCTATGGGCAACAACAATTGTTGTTCTATTTTCCGTGATATTGTCAAGTGCTTGCTGAACAATCTTCTCTGATTCGGCATCAAGAGCGCTCGTTGCTTCATCTAAAAGTAATATCTTTGGATTTCTTAGAACTGCTCTAGCAATGGCAATCCTCTGTTTCTGACCTCCAGAGAGCTGAGTTCCTCCTTCTCCAACCTATTAGAATGGTTTGACTAAAAATGATCAAGTGGAAATATGAGAAAATATGAGTATGGAAATTTGTATATTTACCTGAGTATTGTAACCATTGGGTAATGATTTAATGAAAGAATCTGCATTTGCTGCTTTAGCAGCTTCTATGATCTGATCCATATTCGCATTCTCTTTACCAAAAATAATATTGGAAGCTATAGTCGTGGCGAATAATGCTGGTTCTTGACTCACTAATCCAAGGTGTTCTCTCAACCATTTTAGCTTTAGGCTCTTGATGTCATTTCCATCCAAGAGAATCTTCCCTGAGTTAGGTTCATAGAAACGTTGCACCATTGATATGATTGTGCTTTTCCCTGAACCACTTGGACCGACAAATGCAAAAGTCTTGCCGGAACGTATTGTGAAACTAAGATTCTCAAAAACCATGTTTGGTCTAGAAGGATATGCGAAAGACACTTGATGAAACTCAATCCTCCCAGCTACATTTTGCAATGTTGTTCCATTTTCTAGTCTCTCAGAACTTTCAAGATTGTTGTTTCCTATCATTCTGAATATATTTGCAGCAGCAACTCTGCCTTTGGCAATCGCGGATAAGCTAGGCGCGGCTTGACCTAAGGCGCTGCAAATGCAACAAAATAATTAATACAATGCAATTTGATGATATATATATCAAGAAAGAGGTCTCAAGTATGCTGCACTTACAATCCACTGAAAATGACATTGAGGATCGTTGTGAAGGCTTTTGCACCATTGGTTTTGCCGTGGCGTACAAGAAGACTTGCATACCACAAAAGCAATGCCCAAGAACAGAACAAGAGGCTATATGTTAATCCAACTCCTAAACCTTTAGCAAGACCGCTCCTTTTACCGAGTTTCAAAGCTTTCTTGAGAGAATTTGAGTAAGATTTTACAGCTTTCTCTTCTCCTACAAATGCATACACTGTTCTCACCTGTGACATAACCTGAAGATCCATAGAGAATGATGTTTTCTAATTAATCCAAATGTTAAGAACTAAATAAAAAGGAAGAGATTTAGTTCTTGATTGTGCGTTTGCTCCAAAATATTTTTGGTGAAAAACTTGAAATTTTTTTTGCTAAATTTGTTGTGATAAACTTCTTTCACACTTAAACGTAGAAAATAGTTAGAAAATATAAACAAGCAAACCTCTTCTGCGACTTTTCCTGCATCAGCATAAGCAGTTTCACTCTTCTCTGAGATTGTGGACATGATTATAGCATATCCTCCTCCTGCAACTGCTATTAATGGAACCACTGCTAATGTAAGCAGCGTGAGTTGCCATACTGACAAAAAACCGATGACAAATCCCGCGATGAACTGAGATAAATACCGCAAAACATGGTCTGTCTGAAACAGAACAAACATTTCATCAGTTACATTTTTTGTTTTTTTGTATTTACAATGAATTCATATATTAGTAAAAGTACCTTATCGCCAATTGCATCTTGAACCAAGATCGCGTCACTTGAGATGTGAAAAATGAGATTTGAATCCCTAGCTTCTGTGTCAAAGAAAGTAATGTCTTTTGCTAAGATCGATTTGAGATAATTTATACGCAATCGCGCTGTTTGTCTTTCCCCTGTTTGCATCCAACAAGAAACTCCTGCCAATAGACCATTTCAACTAAAAACCTTTAAAAAATAGTAGAAAAAATTCGATAACATTTTAAAAACATGTCAATGTAATTAGAAACGTACCGATCCAAGCTGATACCAAATTGACCAATCCTAAGTAGACCAAGTACAGAGCATTCTTGAAAAGACAAAGCACCAAATTGTTATGAACTTGTGATTTTCATTTCTTTAAAAGACAAAGCAATCTTAAAGATTTTCAGCGATTAGTTTCTGAAGAAACCTGTGAAACGCGGGAAGATATGGCTTTAGGATCTGTAGAAAGATTTCCAAGAGAATCTAGCATTTTCCCAAAGAACACGAAGAAGAGCGGAAGCGTAGCGCCATGTATACACGCACCTAAACCTCCTAGCAACATCAGAAAGTAATCAAGTTTATCTGCTGCGCTAAACAAACCCATCAATGACACTGATTCCTTCTTTATCTTTTTCTTCTCCTCCACTGCTTCCGTCTCGGCTTGTATGTTTCCATTAGAGGATCGTTCTTCTGTGTTATCCATTGTCACTGAACACTGAGATAAAAAAAACAGAGAGGTACTTGAGAGCGTAGATAAGCAGAGTGGGAGAGATTTAGGGTGTTGAGTTTCTTGTGGGGAAAGCTAAGGGAAAAGGGTAAAGTGGGAATTATGAAATAGAGACATCTCCCTCGCTTATTTAATGTTAAGTGTTAACACTCAAGTCTAATCTTACCTAAAAAAAGCGATTGCTCTAACTGTTTTTGACGACTCGTAGTTAAAGCTTTCCCATAATCTTATTAATGGGGAACCTATGGGCAATCATAATGTATACGTATATCTGGTCTTACAAATCAATGTGGAGCTGCTCACTTTGTATCATGAGTGTAACGTTTTCATATTGTCTTTAGGGTGAAAAGATATGTAGACAATTCCTAGTTATTGATAAAAATGATCCTTACTAACATAAATATGTTTAATTTGATATAGCTAGTAACGCATAGTTGATAAATATATATGTAAAAATTATGGTGAATATATGGTTTTTACGTGATGCTAGAAATGAATATGAAAGGAACGCATGGTATTAGTAGGTTTGAGGAACATGCAAATCGTTGTCAAACTGTCATTATTGTCTTTAAGTAATGATTTACTACGTACGCAAGCAATATACGCGGCTGTTTTTCATCCATGCAACTTTACAATTTTTGAATATTTATTTCATGTGTACTTTGGTTGTTGATAAAGAAATTCACAAATATGTTTGAGTTATTGTTTGTGGGAATTAACAAGAAGCTATACTTACAGTTTTTGTGATGATCTGATCAACATATTACTCTTGAGACGATTGGCGATTTGATGCAATTTATCAAAGTGAAAGCACAAAGACGAATATTCCGGTGAACAACTGTTTACGTGAAAACACACGGATCTTGGAATCTACTTCTTTTTGAATGGGAGAAATTTATAAAATAAAACGAAAATCGAAGGTAATCGATCGAGCTTGTATTTTGAGACAAAGTAGTTTCTGTTTATAAGGTGATGCAATCGTTCACTTGTTAGGCTTTTACGTGACAAATAGGAGTAACACCAACACCGACACGGTTTGTGGTATTTTGCTAATTATGAATCCCTATTTGTTGCTAAATTCCTAAATCTTCGTGAAACCCATGTTAAATGTCGTACTTCAGGAAAGACAATCATGGTCTTAGTTTTTTCTTGTGCATCACAAATCGTAGCAATCAATTCTTGAAAATAGAACCTTGGAGGCCATTACGAAAATTTTGGCCCATAAATAATAACCAACACAAATTCTTGACCCAAATTTTTTTGTATATTCATGATGTTCTTTCCTAAATTTATGATCATATTGGATATCTTGGTGATGAAATTTTCGGATAGCTTGCATGTTTTATGTTTTTGGCCTTGTCAATACCTATAAATCAGCTGGATCTTTTTTTTTTTTTTTTTTTTTTTGATTTTCTGACATGTGCAAAGAGATAAGAGCAATTAAAAAGTATATTCTGTGTTTTAGTATGTACAAATTTCTAAAATGAGAGAATGTGAGCTAAATCTTGCAAAGAGTCAGACTTAGAGTCTGAACTGTTACAACGAATTCAGCTGACTTTTTGTTTGAAAATTTCCTCAGATTCAACCAAAATCCCTCAAATCACCCTTAAATTGATTAGTTTTGTTGTTAACTGTTGAAATGGCATAACAATAATTGGAAATTTCCAACTGTTTTCACTTTTAAGAGTCTTTTTCATGATTTACGGATTTAGCGTCCCAATACGAGAGGTTGATTGAAAATGGACCCAACTCAAAGAGTCACATGCATGTAGTTATTGACACAGTGAAGAGTGAATATAGCCCATATATTATTGTTCTATGAATTCTATAACTTTTTTTTGTTGTTGTTGTGCAAATTGAATTCTATGGCCAAAGATATTTTTCTGTATAATCAAAAAGCATAACAAGAAAACGAAACAGCTGAGCAGGTTTTGTCATTGAATCCTATGAGTGAAAGCGACATAAATAGAAAGAGTACTCCATTCTTTGTTCATACCTAAAAATCACTTATAAATCTAGCCGCGTTATAGAATTAGCAATTACTCTCGTATGGTATGGATGCATTTATTACTTTGAATTTATTCTCTTATAAATAATACTTTAAATTTAGTTTCATTTCTCTATATATATGACTAAAATTTTCAAATTCAAATAGACGTATTATTTTTTTATGTATTTTTTGCACTCATGATGTTATTATCACTAACTCGATAGTAATGACCGTTCGTCCTCACGGTGAATCGTAGATAAACCAAAATCACTACACCCAATTTATTTTATGATTTTGCTACACAAAAAAAATCAAAACCTTATTTATTTTATGATTTTGCTACTGCATCATTTCATTTTTACAAATACACTACTATATCTATGTCTATATTTATATAGCGAATCCAATCTTTTTCCATTTTTGATAAGATATTTCACTCTTGCGTCCTTAACATCACACACGCAAACAAAAGTAAGGTCAACACTTATATCAGCGTCGTTAATGTTAATATGTATAGGTGTCTAAGCTCCCAACTACACACCACATTGCATTTAATACACACAACACACACACGCTTTTAAATACAAACAAGATCCCCAGCAAGCAAAACAGTAATTGAACAAAAGAAAGAAAAACTGATAATGAAGGGTCTTCATCTCCACCTCTTCCTAGTCACCATGACGATCGTTGCCTCCATCGCCGCGGCTGCACCTGCTGCTCCAGCGGGTGGAGGAGCTCTGGCTGACGAATGCAGCCAGGATTTTCAAAAGGTGACTTTGTGTTTGGACTTTGCGACAGGTAAGGCAACGACTCCGTCTAAGAAGTGTTGTGACGCCGTGGAAGATATCAAAGAAAGAGATCCAAAGTGTTTGTGTTTCGTGATACAACAAGCAAAGACAGGAGGACAAGCCTTGAAGGATCTTGGTGTTCAAGAAGACAAACTCATTCAACTCCCAACAGCTTGTCAGCTCCACAACGCTAGCATTACCAACTGTCCAAGTACGTTTCTTGTTCTACTAGCTCATATCACGTTTTTATCTTTCTCGATCTGCTTTTGCTATCTTTCATGTGTCTAATTGTCTATTACATGCAAATTAGTTTGATATTGGAGGCTACTTAGAGAAATAGATTTTATGTTTTGATGATAACAATAATATAGCCCAATAGAAAAATAACTACTTATGATTTTGTTCAAAACTACCATGACATAGGTTGTTTATTTTAAATAATGAAGTCACATAAATCTTTTATTAAAAAAAATAAAAATAAATAATGAAGTCACCTATTCATAAATGGAGCAATGGCCCATGAATGCATATGCTTTCATGAGTTTTGTAAGTTTTAGTATTCCAAGGTGATTGGATTTTTTTTGGTTGTTAATGATTTTTCTAATTAAATAGAGTAATTAATCAATAATTTAATTTCATATGTCATAACTATATAAAAATTTACTTTCCTATGGCGAACCAGAAACCATATACTCCGCTATAAATACTTTAATGCGACAGGTGGCCTCGGGTTGCCACTGTTATCTACAGAGAATCGCATTTAATTCGTAGCACATTTATAAATGGTACCTAACTTTCCCACAGCTAATTTGTAACCACAATTAATCAAATTCAATGTGAAATACTTCAAAGCAGTGAAAATAACAGTTACTTTAGGAGTGATACAGTGAGGCTAATGTTTAAAATGTTGACAAATGAACAGAGCTTCTAGGGCTTTCGCCGAGCTCGCCAGACGCAGCCGTATTCACAAGCAATGCCACGACGTCAACAACACCGGTGGCACCGGCAGGAAAGTCTCCGGCAACTCCAGCTACGTCCACGGAGAAGGGAGGATCAGCTTCCGCAAATGATGGTCACGCCGTTGTGGCTCTAGCCATCGCTTTGGTGACCGTCTCCTTCGTCTCGACCTTGCCTAGACATGTGACATTAGGAATGTAATCGTTTCTAATTTATGAAGTGGTTGGTGCTTTTGTTTTAAAACTTATCTTTCAAGTGTGTTTCTTTGTTCGGACATTTGTTGTAATGAGTCAACTTCCCACTCAATTCTGATCTCTTTCGCACATGACTAAAACTATCCAACGTTTCACTGGTTTTTATTATTAGGTTACTTCATGTTCCATTATTCATTTGACAAACCAATGATCACATATTTGTGACCGATATGGTCGTAAACTAAACTTTCAAATAGTTAAGTCAAGATGGTTTAGATACCGACTTTTAGAACCTTGAATTTATCTTACAACCTATGCTTCTTAAGTCCGTGATCAAATGTACAAAATCTAGAGTATTAAACCATATTTAAACCTCAGCCAATCTCAAGTCCTAACAGAGAAGAGAGGTCTATTTGGGTCTGTGTTGCAAGGCCAAAGCCTCTGCAAAGTTCTTGGACATTTCCCTTACAAATTCGTCATGGAGAGAATATGTGGGATGTGTCGGAACAGAGGTTGCAGAAAGTGCAAGCGCTTCAAGAACAGCACGTTGTCTTGCTTTTCTTTCTTGGATCGCTCTCTGTCGCTCTTCGTAGAAGTTAAAGTCGTCGAGGATCGAAGAACGCATCTCACAGCTAATGAATATATCTAACATCTCTATACCTTGTTCCAGTCCCACCTGCAGGTATAAAACACAAAGACTATTTCATATCTTATCATTTAAACGTCCGCCAAATGTACTGAAAGTAAACTTCTAAGTTGAAAACTATGTTCATGGTAAGATCTTGAATTTGTTTCCACAAAAATACACAAAATCAACTAGAAGCATTCTTTGTTTTCAAAGAAGACATGTTCTACGTTGGAGAGATCCACATAGATGGAGAGATAACTGCTCTCATATGTGAAATCATACAAGATTCAAAAGGAGCATCAATATCAATGTGTACTAACAGCAAAGTTTCATTATCAATGCAATTTGAGAATTAAAATACGATTCACAATTGTCAAATCTATATGCATAATTAAACCATTGGAAGGAGCCTCAAAAAAAGTATGCAGAAGACAAGAAGAGTTTAGTTTACCTCTTGGGTGTCTCTACTGTTAGTGACAGGCTTATTGTCATTGCTTTCAATTATGATGTGACGAAAGAGACTGTTAGGAACATCTTTGACAATAAGCCATTGGACCGGGAAGTGTCCTGACCATCTATCCTGTTGCCAGTATTCTACACTTGTGTTGAAGTCAACCGGTCCAACCATCTCAGCAACTCCACAAAACTGTGAACTGGCATTTACCTGAAATCAAGTTTTTGAGCCCTTCTTCTATTATGAGTTTCAGATCCAAGCCAAAGAGATAAATATAGAACATTAACAGTATCATCTCAGTGGATTGAAGTAATAGATACACAGATATAGCATGAGATGGATTGCTGTGATGCCGGTTTATTTTGGAAGACAAAGGCCTGACAATGCAGTTTCATGGTTGAATAAACAAGCAAGTGTAAATATCTTCCAAGAAAGTTATCAGTCTCAACACTCAGAGCTTCCAACAAGTTTTGATTTGTAATGAAGAAAAATAGGCGATTTACCGAAAATAAGAGAAAGACTGGGCATGCCACTTCTTTTTTCTTTGCTTCACGATAGGCAGCATCCAACTTTTTGTTTCCGTTTTTAGTGCTAGCCCAAACACAATACTTTATACTCTTGTGGACATTATCCTCGCTATATGACTTAATAACGAAGAACTTTGCGTCCCTGAACTGGGAGAGCAATTCTTGTTGACAACGATCAACGTGATCATAAGTGATCATTTTACTTTTACTGTTTAGCCTGGATGCTCTCGGACCTCTGTTACTCTCAGTAAGCATATCAAGCATGGCAGGGCAGTGGCATAAGTCATTGTAGCTTCCACTTCTTGCTTCATCAAGTGGTGGCAAGTTATAATCATTCTCCCAAGTTGGGATAGAAGAAGAAGCAGAGAAAGGGCTTTTTTTGCATTGAGTATAAGCTTGCTCTCTGTAACTTAAGCTTTCAGCAGATTCAAAAGCATCGTGCAAAACTCCATGTGCTGGACCCTGCATAGATTTCATCAATTAGATCTACATAGAAATTCACGAAACTTTGTCCGTTAAAAGAGGTAGAGGTAGTGATTACAGAAACAAACCATATTGAAGTCATTTGCCGGCAATTCTGCTGAACCAAGGTGCTTCATACATGTTCCGGTAGATGCCATTGGAGGAAACATGTTCTCTCCACTGAAGGGGTTGAGATTCATACCCCTAGATTCTCCATATATATCATTTCTTAAGCCAAAATTTCCCCTAGGTCGCATCACATAATCAGTCTCACTACTGTTTCTTTCATTCACATGCCTATCAAAACGTCTAGAGTTCGCCAGGAACATGTGAAACTCCGGAGAAAGATGAATATGTTCAGGGTTTGGATACTGCTGATTTGATAAGTCAAAAGGAACGAAATGTCTTGAATCATCAGCATAGAGGTCGCCATAATGCTGCAGTGATGATTGATTTCTGGTAGAAAGAGATGACCTCTGAAAATCTGATGGTACACCATTACCATGGTAAACCATTTCATTTCGCATGCCCTATATCAATTGAATAAGAAATAGGAAATAAATGACCACAACATGAACAGCAGAAATAAAAAACAAGTAGTATGGAAGGCGTAGATTAGATGATTTACGCACAGGAGAAACTTTTTCAAAGCTTGGGACATCCGTATGTGAATGGTACGACCTTGGAGTATCAGCTGCATAATCATAACCTGATAGAAATGAGATGACGGCATTAATGAGCAACACTGAAATTTAAAAATATTACTACAATAACAGCTAAGAAGCAATACAATCGACAATTTTGGTCACAAGACAAACATGGCGAAGCAGAAATAAACAAGTGGTAAAGATTTTTCATTGGCATGTGGCAATGTTTCCTCTAGTGCACATAGGAGAATTATCAACAGCAAAGATAACAATCTGGAATAGCCCCCACATAAGTAGGTGGACTTCAGTACAAGAAAGAATAAGCAGTTCTCTTGGTTTAAGAACATGATAAAACAATAATACTTTTTTTCTTCTCTAAAAAACAAAATGAAGTTGCCCATGAAAATGGCAAAATAAGGAATACCATAACAAAGAGAGAAAACAAAACAAAGTTCACAACCAGCAGAAGATTAGTTGAAACCACTAAACTACAGCTAAATATTAGAGAATCGTTAAAAAGGGATCATAGAGATCTAACCTCCAATCTGAAATGATTCTGTGTTAAAACCGCAGGAACTTGGAGAAAAAGCATTACCACACAAAGGGCGACTGCTAATCTTGTCCTGAAAAATCTGAACACAATGTCAAATTGGTGCTAGCTTACATTAAAAAACACAAGCAATGCCATGAATCTGTTACCTGATCTTGGAGAACACTATGGTCAGTATTTAGCCTCTCTACCATATCCATCTCCAGCATATTTAAGCCCGTAAATGAACCTAAAAATCCAAAAGGAGTACACAGAGACAACCACCATCAAGTAAAAGCTAAACATGAAAGAATACTCATAGGATCAAGGTGAAGTGGAAGAACCTAACAAAGCCTAGTAAGTGAAAGAATCCCAAAAAGGTCTAAGCTTTATGAATTACAACAACAGGGCTTTCTCACAAAGGCAAAATTCATCAACAGACATCGTAATCTCTTCGTTAAAGTGACGAAACAATTAAACCCAGGAAAATAAAACCAAAAAGCTTCAACATTTATCCTTTGTAAGGAGAGAAGGAACGAGGCTTACCAGTAGGAGGAGGAAACCAGTCGGTGCTTCGGTAAGAAGCGGCCATAGAAAAATCAGCCAATCGGAGAAAAAAGAGACGATAAAGTAAGAGACAAAGTGAGAATCTCTTGTTACGGAGAGGAAGGAGGTGTTGAGACTTGAGAGAGAGATTGGTGAAGGAATTGTCGAATTTTGAGGATTTTTGGAGTGTTTGGGTGACGCATGGAAATTCGTAATTACTGTATTATTAAATTAAAATTTTAATCAATTAATTGAGTTTCATTCTTTCATTTGATTGGTTACAACAGGATTAGTTAAGTGTTTTAGAGGATATGAATGTTGATGCATGTGAGATAATTTGTAGAAAGTTGCTCGTTTGACGGTCTTTTTTTAAATAGCGATAAGCCGCAGTGACCAGTCGCGCGATTGGTAAACGAACAATATTCCGCGATTTTAAAATTACAGTCCCATTCGCTTGCAGATTATGAAATGAAAATAGCTAAAGCATATGGTTGTACTTGTACCATTTTATACGACTGATCGTTATAAACCAATGTGTTTACAAAATATTTTTCACTAATTAATAGAATATTCAACTATTTGGTATGTAATCTGCCTTTTTTAGGAGTATCCAAAATTTCTAAGAATAAGAATGGCTTACCTGATTTAGATTCTAGTTAGAGAACGAATAATTATTTTTTGTTAAAGAAGAAAGAACAATTTGTTTGAAGGATCTTGTTGATTTCTGACTGTTTAATCGAATGCTTTTTCTACTATATAGAAATCACGACGGTATTATTTGTGATATGGAGACTTAGTAACATGTAACTTTACCCATTTTAATTTTGGTAGAGTCGATTTATATGTTTTTAGAGATTGTTCAACATACCATGGACCATTAGCTAAGTTAAGCATATGATCATTTAGAAATTTAACAAATCTAGCATACTTTGGATCTCTAATTGATTGGATGAATTACACATAACGCTAAAAGATTCCTCCAAACACTAAAACCGATTGTTAATCCAAACAAAACAGGTTTAAGTTTTATTCAAAAAGTTTGGATCTCTTATTAAATAATACTGTAAGAATTAGGTAGTTTGTTTTCGAATGAATAAGAAGTAGGTACCAAATATATATTTTCATTTCATTTAGGTAGTTTGTTTTCGAATGAATCTCCATTATGTGTATATTTTATATGTCTACTAGATATGGATCCGTGCATTGCACGGATTGCCGGTCGAGATTATCATTCTTAATATTTTTATTTTATTTTTGTAAGGTTAACTAAAATTGTATAAACATATATATTTTAGAAAATGCAGCATAATTATTTCTAAATATAGATTTATTAGCATAATACGTAATATAAAACATTATTTGTAGTTA